GCACCCTCAAACACTTTATTATTAAGTACAGGCTTGAATTTGATGTGGTGTGGCTGCTATGCTTCCAGGAATACCCCCAAAGGGATGCCGAAGACAAAAACAATTAGGGGACAGCCGTGTTCAGCACCCGTCTCCAGCGGGAGACACGCTGGAGGCCAGAGTCTTTAAAGGGCACCGCCACCGGCAGGGCTAGTGATGTCACTTGGAATGTAGCTCAGATCACACGCGGTGTCTGCAGCAATTATTCAGGCACTGCCCCGCTTCTAGAAACGTTTTTGCTCTCTGTGTGGACAAAAGAAATACCTTCCCTGGATTCATTTTGTTACGCGGTCTGTTTGCGTGAGATGAGCTCATGCCAGTTGTCAGTCCCTTAAAGCAGTGGTCTTTAACCTGGGGGGCACATTCCCCACATGGCGGGGCGAGACAGGCCAGGGGGTTTTTTGGAGGTAAAAAAGGACAAATTAAGCGGAGGCATGTAACTACAGTTTCATCAAACCCGGGATTTTTAAGGTTAATGTAAAAAAAGGTGTCATTTTTCATGTATTCCTAATTTTACTGCTAAATTAAAATCCACAATTTCCTGCCTCTCATTCTAAAGTTATGATGTATCTAAGGTTTAAAGAACTGACCCACTTCAACGATTCTTCAAGGGGGTGCAGGCTGCATGACAGGCTGCATGACAGGTTAAGAAACACTGTTTTAGAGGTTCTCGTCCTCATCATGACTCATGAACACTTAAATGGCTGCATCGATTATGTGCATTGAAGCAAAGATACGCACTTCCACCTCGAGAGACCACTAAACTGTTCTTCTTAATGCACATGAAAATCAAGCCTCAGTTTACTGACCAGCATTATTAACATAAAAGCACATTATACAGGATATCTTGTAAAGTGGGAAGATCTGATACATGTTTATGTTTGGTGGCTTTAAACCTATAGATACTTTAAGAACTTTACAAATACTTTACGATCCTAAATGTGTTGCTGTTATCGAGATACTGTATATCAATTTACGTAATCCCTCACATGGTTGGCTGGTCTAATATAAACTTCATGTAAGCTTTCGCAAGCTGCTGAATGTATGTTTAGGTTTAATACAACCCTTGTAAACCCTTATCAGTTGTCAAGTGCTTTGTTTTTAACCAAAAACAATGAAATCCAAATCACAACTGACAAGCTTTTTAGGCGTCTTCAGTCCACAATTAAAGATTTGGATTATGCTTTTGGTAGAAGTGATTGGTATTGAGATTTTGGTCATGCTTTATTTCAGTGTTGCTGCATAATGGCTTCACAGTCTCTTCATTACTGCTGCTCAAGCTGTTATACTCACACACACAACACTTTATTGATTCATGCACAAAGGACATAACGTGCATAAGAGATCATGCTGTTTGTTTTAGCAGGATTTCTAGCCCTTGGTAAGACCAGTGTCATGACCTCTCACCCACACGTTATGTTATTTGCATCACCAATCATTGAACATCCTTCGTGGCAGACACCTCCAGTCCAGGAGGAAGGAAAAAAACAGGTGGACCTAAGGACGTATTATGGAAAACCTTGTGGGAGAAGTGGAAAGGGGCTGAAGCAGATGCCTGCAGTTAAACTGATGTGCGGTGTAACAAACCACTCGCAAGCTGATCCTAATGCAGAGTGAAGGTCCCCCTACTGCAGGAGAAAGCGCCAATTAAAAAAATGTGAAGTGAAATGCAATTAGCAATTACTGTTCAGTTTCCCTTCTAATTACTTTGAAACAGTCCAAATCACATCTGGCAATTCTTGTTCATTGTTATCTTTTCTTATAATTCCTTACAATTATAATAGCACAGCTCAAGATCCCAGCGCTCCCCACATATAGGAAGGGACTGACTCCATCCACCACCTGGGCAACGTGCAACGGAGATCTTATTCATATTCAGACTCTGAAATGGTGATACTGACATCTTCAGGAATCCCTCGATTTACACTTGTAATTTGTTCCATTAAAACTGTTTGTAAGGCTAAAATCTCTAAATCGAAAATGAATTCCTATAAGGTTATATCTAAATTCCTCCAATTGGTTCCCAAATCTCACACAAATCACAATTTTTTTTTTGTGTACTACAAGAACTTTACAATGATAACGGTATTATTTTTTTATGCTTATTACGTTAATTGTGCAGTACTTGTGGTATTTAAAGTGAAAACTATCTAAACATGCAAGACACATACGATGTAAAACCTTAAATAGTCATGTAAAAACTGAAAGAATTAATTAAGTCAATGACAATTTCTAATAGGAATGTAGTAGACGACCTAGGGTGCTTGGACCTCTGGTACAGACTGAAGTGTATTCCTTCACCTACAGTAGGATGCTCACCAAGAAGGAATTTTGTTTGTTATAGCAAAAACATGTTTGTTTTTGTCACAGAATGAGTAAAGATTCGCACGCTTCGTTATAGCACAAATTCGTCAATCGGTTGCGCATAATTATATGTCAGTAACCCCACTGCACAGAATGTGAGGCAGAGCAGTGACGTGTTTCTTCACCACTTGAATCAAGGGGGAATTTTAGGCTGTGTGGGTACGGAGTGGAATTTAGCCAAAATACTAGAGTTAACACTCCTTCCCTTTTGAACAGTGTTGTGGGATCTTTGACAACCAAGTGGTATGTTCTTGGTTTGATGTTTCAGCTGAGGAACGGTGTCGCCCACAGCACAGTGTCCACAGTTGTCATACTGGGACACTGGTTTTTGTTCAGGAAAAGAGCAGCAGGTGGCAGGTGTTACTAGAATATAAAGTAAGTTTCCTTTTGGTTTGCTTATGATTTAATTTCCTCGAATTATTATGATTTCCAGGTAATATAGATTTTCACAAGACACTTGAATCTGCCTAAAGCCCTGTTGAAGAGACTTTATTATAGTGTTCAGGCTTCATTAAACTACCTTTGTCCTGAAAAACCCACAGAATTATACTTCTTTGGTTAGACAAGCGATCATTAGCGATGTTTCCAGTAGAATTTCCTTACTGATGTTTCCAGTAAAACTTTAATGATTAACTGTTTTACCTTGATCTAGTGTTTAGGAAAACATTTTAATACTGCTGTAATCGGAATGTAATGGCTGTGTTTTGGTTTGCTTGAGCCTGATTCCATTTTAAAAATCCCAAGTACGTGCTTGTGTGCGTGTGAATTCCAATTTGTTTTTGCAGACTAGCTTTAAAAAAAAAACAGTAGTTTTCAGTGCAGAGAGAAACAGAGTGATGTGACGAGCCGTGTTGTTTCCGCAAAGCAAACTAGCTATTGTTTTCAACCAGTCAGTGCGGCTTATCACCGACACTATCGCTGAGCTGAGGCAGACAAATGGATACTATTAGAAGTGAAGGGAAAGCCACGCTCAAGAGTGTAAATTGGGGATCTCGGGGCGTTTGTACATCGTGACTGGAGACGAGAAACAGGCTTTAAAACCTGCGGGATTTCCCAGCTGATCTCATCATCGCAAAGGCAGTGATCACAGGCCTGGAAAAGCAGATAAGCAGGCTGGTTTAGGCGTGGAGCCAATGTAAAAGTAAAAACCAGCTAACATACAGACCAGAGGAGCATTTCCATTAAAGAAGGAACATTATACCTTCCTTAACTTGAACCCCTCCCATCTAATTAAACCCACAAATAATTAGTGGGAAGTCAGACATCAGGTATTGTTCCAAATTGAACAAAATATAAAACCCTGAGTAATCAATAGACCACAAAATCACACCAAAAATAATTAAGAGAGGGCTTAAAGCATACTCTTAAGAGTTTGTGTTTCTGAGCTACTTTGTTTTAGTGTCAGTGATATCTGCCTTGTTTACCAATTTTACCTCAATATTATGTTACAAGTAGAAGTGCTTATCTTTTGATCCATTTTATTTCTAAAGAGTCACACTGAAATGTATTTGATGTTTCTGTTCTTAACTTTGAAGGAAATTGAATGTTGGGAAGCATGTGTTACAGCATAGAAATCTCCCAAAACCCTCTCCTGACAAAGCTTAACATTTTGTGAGGTTTACAGAAAAAAAACATATCAGGTCTTTCACATATGATTCTTTATAGTGGCAGTGCTGTGACTTGCCTTATGACACCTCTTGGCTTGATAAAAGACAAACTTGTTTTTCCTGAAGTCTGGATATAGGGTTTGCGTTGAATCCGTCACAGACAGTAACCTGCTGTCCCAAAAGTAAGAACACCCTGTTGGAAAGAATAACATTCAACCACAAGTAAATCATGGGGAGCTAAAGGAATGATCTGCTCAGAGACTGCCCTGTGTCACCTCAGAAATAGAAAAAAATCTGCATTTGTGCAGCAGGTAAAACTTTGGTCTTTCACTTCGACATCTGTTTTTTTTCTGCTGTTTCCCTCTACCTGGTTATTCTTTCTTGTTTAGCCGTTTACTGTGTCAGTACTTCAGAAACAACGTCCCGGTGTCGACTGCAGTGAAAGTGGTGTCCTCCTGGTCAGAGGTAGAGGGCAGAATCTGTCACAGACATTTCACAGACCCTGCCCAGGGGGAGCTGTGTGAGAGGGCTAATCTCGGAGAACAGGAAGCAACACATTGAGGTTTCAATGTGAGAGAAGGAAAGTCTAAGGAAAAAGGAGAGGGGAAACGAGAAAGGCCGGGGAAGATTATTTTGTTTGGTAGTGATATCCATAGGCATAAAATGAAAAATGGAAGAAAGGTCTTTGGAAAACTTTTTTTCTTATTTTGGTTCCTTTCCTTGTTTTTTCCTTCCTTTTCTTTCCTTTTTTCTTGGAGGTTGTTTTTTTTTCCAAATTGAAGACGTTCAGTTCAAGATGTGATGGTGGCTACACAACTGGGTTTCTTGGCTATTAACACTGCTCACTGTTGTCATGAATTTTATGTAATAACTTTAGGGATGCATCTTAACAGTACCATTCCAAAAAACACTTTTGTTCGCCCCGTTGCTTGCTAGATGTTTTAAGGTGTGCGAGTATGCGCCCAACCGATTTGTTTTCTTCCTTCTCAGAATGATTGAGGACCGTGGACGAAGGGGCAATACCATGGCAGACAGAAGACAGCTGTTTGCAGAAATGCGTGAGTGTTGAAGGATATTCATCATCCCATCAGATGACACACAACATTTAAATTGTTTATAAGCCCCTCTCATCTGGCATGTCCTAATTAAATACACCTTCTTGGAAATTCCAGTGTACCAGTAAAGTGGACTGCAGTACAGGCTACAGTTTTTCAGTAAATGGTTTAAGGGCTGCTCCAGATGTATACTGTGTATCTAACATCGTTGGGCATTGCCTGCATTTCAGAAGCTTTGATAAGGTGGAATTGAAGGAATCGGACTGAGACAGGAGATGAAATGTCAATTAGTCAATTATTTTGTTTTCCCAAGCAGTGCTTTCCAGGTGCGTCATACACACAACATTTTTTTAGAACTCTTTTTAGTCTCTTTTTAGAATTTCAACTCACTGCATTCACAATCTCCTTTCTGTCGTAGTGGTGTGAGTAGTGGGTTTTTTTTGTAATAACAAAAACAAATGTACAAAGAGGTGAAAAACACAGATGGGGAGAAAACCCAAAATGAAAGCACAGTAACTCTACTCTTCAAAGTGAATGTCCCTCAGCAGAGCTCAAGCAAGAGCCTCTCATTCTCCAGTTCCTGAGGAGGTACTGACAGTATTACAAAGGCTGCCAACTCAGTATCTACCTTCTGCCCAGCAGGAGAGAATGAGGAGGTGTATATCCACATTCTCATGCTTGTGGGTCAGTAAACCCTCAATTTAACAGAGTAAATGCAGGAGGTGTGTCCTTTATTGTCACATAATATTTTGTCAGCCTCCCCCAACACACAGACACTATTATGTGAGAGAAATCTGTATATACTGTACTATACTGTATATACACTTTCTGGATCTTTTGAGTTTTTTTTTTAACGATTGCAATCAACACATCCATCCATTTTCTGACTGCTTCTTCCAGCTCAGGGACAAGGGGGAGCTGGAGCCTATCCCAGCAAGCAACAGGAACAACCCTGTCCATCGCAGGGCAGTCGCGTAGACACAGACACACACTCGCGCTTTGGGCCAGTTTTCCCAGAAGCCAATTCACCTACCATATATGGTAGAAATGTGGTATACAATGTTTTTTAACCACATTGTCTTGATGAGGACACAGATGAATCTGCATAAGCACTCATTCATCCAGCTCAGATTTCCTCAAGCCACATGCATGGTGTGTGTCCCTACTTCCTGTCTGGATCACTTTGCTCTCATCAGTGTTAAATTTCACTTGTCAAGACCACTCTGTGGGTTTTGTAACTTTTTGTAACTCTCCTGCCTATATCTCCCATTATTTTTCTATGGTCTGCTAATTTTACTTGTTTGCTGCTTATACCAGAATGGAAAACTTCTTTTATACAGTAGTCCAAAAAAGCAACGGGCCTATTATTGATTCCTAGAAAATGTCACTCCACTGCTTACATCTGTCTAACTAGAATTTGTCCTTTAAGATGACAAGTTGTTTCCTTTTCTTCATATTGTAACGCCATAGCTCTGATTCAAGAATTAACCTTTTTGTGAAGGGCCTTATTAAAACTCTTTCTTGAAATTTGAATTCATCCACCTTGGGTGTTTTGCTGTTACCTGCTGAGTTACAGTTAGTAAAACAAGATCTTTCCTTCAAATCCATGTTGGCTGGATTTGTTGGCTTTGTTATGCAAGCATTCTTTAGGTGTAACTCTCACCTTAAATTTCCACTGATGGTTTATAGTTTCCTGGTTTGTTTTTGTCCCCCTATTAATGAGCTGATGAGCATGATACTGACCACATCACCCCCACCTCCAGTGTCGGATGGTCAAGAAGAATGGTGGCCCTTGCCCCCCCATTCCCCCATGGGCCTTGATGGCCTGAAAAAGGGACCTACCTACTTATTAATGAACTGATACAGCATTAACAATTCTCCACTCTGTAGTTCCAACTTCCATCCTTAGTGAGAGTACACTTAGATAAGTGTCTGTGAATAAGTAACACTTTAGATAGAATTTATAGGATCAGTGATTCCCCACTAACATATATATATATATATTTTCAGTTAGACATCAACATGGCATATTACATTTTAACAGATTGAAAAATAGCAAACAGTTTTTATTATTTAAAATAAAGTATGTTTATTATAACATGTTAGTTGAAGCAATGTGCCTTGCAGAAAAAGACACCTTTCTGCACTGAATAAGTATATTGGGTCTTTGTGAGAAGGTGTATAACTATATTTTTCTTTTCTATTCAGGAGCACAAGATTTGGATCGCATTCGATTATCAACCTACAGAACAGCGTGCAAGCTCAGATTTGTTCAAAAGAAATGCAACTGTGAGTAACATGAATGAACTCGCTTGGGTGCCTCTTGTTAAGTTTCAGGAAAGTTCTGCTATAATGAGAGGTATTAAAAATGCAATAAGTATTGGAGCCAATAACATTTCTTATTAGCTCTACCTGTAGAGCATGTGATGGCAGAGGGCCTGAGAAAGGTACAGTATGTGAGACAACGCTCTGTGGCCTGTAGCAAGCCTTTCATGGGCAATTTACAGTCTGCAATGTGATTAGAATGAAATCTTTGCCAAAAGAAAAGATGTGTTTGCTCTGTCAAAAATTCTACCTTCTCAGGAGGCAACAAAAGTCAGAGACTGAAAGTGCTTTAGCTCCTGTGCTGTGAATTTTTTTTACATCATTCCCAGATAGAGACCTTGAGTCGGCCTGGTTATTTAAGCACAGCATCAGTGATTGCTTGGTTACAGTGTCGCGGCTATGTGCCTCTCTGTTTGAGGTGCATAGAAACCTGAACTATAGGTGCTCCGATTTGTCACTGTATTTAAAAAGAGGAAAGTGATGAAGTACCAACAAGCACTTAGCCTGCAGCGCATACCAGCAGGAAGTAAAGGACAGGACACAAAACCACTAAAAATCTAGCTTTGTGTCCCCATGTGCCAGTGCTGGTTGCTAGGTGTGCGCAAGACAAGTTTCAGTTGTGTTTCTACACATTTCTAGCATGTCAGCAACTTTGAGCTTTTCAGTGCTAAAGGAGGCTGAATTTGATCTTCAGAAAGAGCCATTCAAACAGCATGTGAACATAAGAAAAGTTATAAATGAGAGGAGGCCATTCGGCCCATGTAGGCTGTTTGGTAGTTGGTACCAAAGATTCGCCCAAAGATCTCATTCAGCCATTCTTTTTGTAAAACAAAATGGGGTATCAGCTTCAGAAACAGCTTGTTCCCCATTCCTACCACCCTTTCAGTCAACGAGTGGCTCCTGTTCCTGGTTTTAAATGCACCTCTTCTTAATTTCCTCCTGTGTCCTCTGGTTCGTGTTTCACTGTCCATTCTGAATTAATCCGGTGGGTGGACTCTGTCAGTGCCTTTGCAGATTGTGAATATTTGAACCAGGTCTCCTCGCAGACTTCTCTATGCAAGACTGAAACAGCTCGCTGCCTTCAGCCTGTCCGTGTAGGCCATCCCTGTCAGCCCCAGAAAGTATTTAGATTGATTTCAGAACAGCAATGTCTTTTAATTAATGAGGTGACCAAAGGTGTATACAGTATTCTAAAGTGTGTTATACAGTTTTAACACAATATCCTTTGATTCAAATTAAACTTTTAACTGTAAATCCTATCATTTTATTGGCCTTTTTATTCCCTTCCTTACATTGCCTAGAAGACGTACTGTAAAGAATCTGTCAGCATAAACACATAATGCCCAAGTCTTTTTCATAGCTGGCCTCTTCTAGCTCGGCATTTTGCAGCGTGTATTTAAAGTTCCAGGTGTTTGTCCAGTTGTGAAATTTCTCAACCTTTTTCAATTTCATTTGCTGCTTCAGCAGTATTTGGCAATCCTTTAATATGGTATCATCTGCAAACATGACAGTATTTTGACTACATACTACAAAAAAAATGTACAAGATCATGAGATCTGACTTCTGTATGGCACCTTGAATCATGATTACCATTGACATTTTACAGTTTTTACCTGAAAAAAAATAATTGCTATCCCAGAATAACAATTTTCAGTGGAGGTTACTGTAAGTCTTTATTGTAATGTTGCTTTTGTGATAGAAATGAAAATAATTATTATAGATAATTTACAACCACACTCCTAGCAATGAATGTGATTATATGTTTGGAAACCATAAGAAATTTCCTTTAAATTACAAGCTTACTCTTCCAAAATCAGACCTGTCTTTTTATTGGCTATTAATCAATCTTAAACAGTATGACACTTTAAGGTTAAGCTTACTTTTGAAATTTCCTTTGAACAGTTATTCGTTTTCTCCTTTAGAGATGTGTATTATGTAATAACTAATAATAATCCTATAAACACCTACAGTATAATAAACCAGACTTGATGATTGATGTCCTATTATATGAATCAAGGTTGAATAGTTTGACGAGTAACGTTGCAAAATGGATAACCCCTGCTTCTGTCCCCGTGGGCAGAGGCTTTGTCACACACAAAAGTAAAGTAAGGTTACTGTAAGTTGGCTCTGCCAGTCTTTTATTTTTCTCAATATCTTTTCAGTCTGCAAGAGCTATTCATTTTGCCAGCCTGACTCCTTCTTTCTTCTGGTTCATTTTCTTTCATTCAGTTTTTACCTCCCAAGAAAAGCATGTGTGAAGCACTCAAACATTCGTGTGAATGTTTGAGTGCTGTGTGAAGGCAGAAAATTAGCCCAGTTCTCTCAGAGGAGAGGACGAATTGTTGTGAAGTCTGTGATACTAACAGAAGAGCTAATACAGTAGCTGCTCGTGTAACCATGTGAGTAACAGTGTAACCCAGTGTAAAGATCTCTTATACTCGGCTACTTTAAGGATCTTTAACACACCTGAAGAAGGCTCCACGGCCGAAACGTTGTGTTTTCTTTCTTCTTTTTTTCAGCATGGAATAAACCTATTACTTGTTCCTTTGCAGCCTACGCATGCTGACGCAGCTACCCACCTGAACTACTTTAAGGATCTATGTTTTTTTCCCCACTTCTACTTGATATCACACAGTCAGGGGAACAGGCCAGATTTATTTTTCTTGACATGTATGACTGTCTTTGTTGGTAGAATTGACTAATTGGCTTGCCCTCAATGCCAGGCCCAATAATTCTAATACAGCTGTTTTATTTATCCACTTTGTGTTTGCTGTTGGTTCCTTTCTTTCTTTCTCAAAGTGAGTGATGTCTTGACTCCTCGAGAAAGTTGGCTTAACTAAAGGGTCTTAACTAAAGGGTCACTGACAATTACATGCAAGTCATCTTTTTAGGAAAACTATCTTTTTTTCCGTTTAGAATGAATAAGAGTATACCACAATGAATAATGTGGTCAATATAAACACAGTAAATATTAAATTAATGGAAAATGTCTGATTTTTAAAAAATAATAATGGTGATTAAATTGATCCTGCTTTTCCCCACATCTGCTTCAGTCTTAAACATTTGACTGAATTATTGTGTTCCTGATCATTTTAACAGCAGCAACAACAACATTAATGATGTGCCTAATATTTTTACTCTTGTTATTTAACACAAAAATGTACAGAAATTGGGTGATACTACACTTCATCATCTTGCAATCCTGCTAGAAAACAAACTTCAAAAAGAGGTCAGGCACTGAGAGCAACAGAACAACAAGAGAACAGGCTCCTCATACTGTATACTGTAGAGATGGTTGAAACAAGCAGGCAAGGGCAGATGTGTGTCACACAGCAGCTGGAGGAATGTTGGAAAGTTTGTCTCCAGTCGCTGCGTTTGGAGAAATTATTGGTTTCGCTGTTCAGCGACCTGCGCCTGTCTATAGGGGGCCTTTTTATTGGAGGAAATCGCAGCTGTGAACTGTTAGGAACTTTACTTTTAAGTGGAAATACATGTTTTCTCACCTTTCCCGATTTTACAGGTCTACCCTGCTGTATTAACCTGAATAGTGACTGATTTTTTTAAATGGGACTTTTAAAAAATGTGCGTGAAGCTGAACTGTGTTCTGCTCCTTTAATTGTAAGCGTTCAGCTGTCTTGTTACAGTGTACAGTATATGCTAACTTAGAAGTCTGTGCCTCACCATTGGATTGAGCGAGTCAGATGGAGTTGTGCTCGTTCTGACAGATGCAGCCATTCAGAACACGCGCCAGTTCTTAGTCCCGTGTTGCCTGCACCACGGCGCTGCACGTTGTGTGATTCACTGGCCAAAGACTATCGATAGGCTGCACTTGTGGTGCGTTAGATGTTAGTGAAACGATTGCTTCATTTAATCAGATTCCATACGGTTTATCAACTCTAAATCCACTTAACATGGAATGATAATACGGACTTTTGTAAGTAAAGGGAAATTTTGGTAGCTGACAATAAAAATAACAGATCTCTGAACATCATAAACGATATGAATTTAGGAGTATACATTTATTATACATACTGAATGTGGCTGTTAGTGGAAGCTTTTAAAAGTAGGCAACAGTATTCCACCTTCTTTATAACCATTTTCTGCATCAAAACGTGGTAATTTACTGTGGAAATTTTTATTCTGGAAAAGTTTTGGTGTTCTCATTCTACCCGTATAAAGTTTATATACTTTATAAAACCCTATAATGTTTTAACCTTTTCTATGAATACTTCCTGTCATTATTGTTGTAAAACAAAAGATGCATTACTTTATGCTTAATAGGGAATATACATATGGAATCGTGTAGCTAAAAAAACATGTGGTAGCTGAAAATAAGAACAGTTTCTGGACGTCATTGATGATATACATTTTTGGATTTAAATATATTTATATGGTTGATAGTGGTACCCTAATCGTTGTGCTCCGTTCTTCTCCTGTCTCGCGCAGTACACCTGGTTGACGTTTGGAATGTTATCGAGGCCTTCCGAGAAAATGGTCTGAACACAATGGATCCCAACGCGGAGATCACTGTGGCTCGCCTGGAAGCAATACTGTCCACCATTTTCTACCAGCTGAACAAGCGCATGCCGACCACTCACCAGATCAACGTGGAGCAGTCCATTAGCCTGCTGCTCAACTTCCTGCTGGCGGCGTACGACCCGTAAGTCTGGGGGCTGGTCGGGACACCCCGCGCCTCGCCGCTCGGTTCGCTTCCTGAGCGGCACGGCATGGACTTTTGTTGGCGTTACGTCTGTGATCTCAGGGACGGGAAAATGAACAAACGGGCTGGCACTCTGTTCTTGATTTTGCAACTGTGTTTCAGAGAGAGATTTACTGTACAGTAAATGTATTGACAGCCATTCTGGATTTTCCGTGGGCAAATGAAATGTTTTTTTATCCACTTAATATGCCATGAAAACCCATTTAAGGTAACCAGTTAACGATTTTAGTGTTTTTGATGAGAACTGCTGCTTCCTAAAATCTCCTTTAAAAGCGGACAGAAGACCAACCACTCACTTGGCTTTAAGTTCCTGAAATTACTTCTCAGCAGCTTCGTTGTTTACCATTTAGCCCCGTCTGAAAGCAGCGACAGAGTTTAGTTTGGAAGGGATGTGTTGGGCTCACTCTCTGAAAGGGGCCTTGTTCGCCATTTGCTGACCAGTCATCATTGCTGCTTGGAGTTGCGTCGTGTTTTCTGATCCCAGAAAGCTTCAGTCACAGTAAGGGAAAACGTCTCATCCGACACTGGGGTACACCGCCCACCAGGGTGGGGCGCGGTAGCCATTGTGCAGCAGCACCCGCCCTGCGCAGGAGATCAGGCAAAGAAGCGAGACATTCCCTCACCAGTCGAATGGAAGTGGAAATCCGGGAACGTCACATGGTGCCAGACAAGAGACGAATGTAGCCACTTTAGCAGCGGAGACATTGGAGTTAATACTCATGTAGCGCTTGTGAACAGTGCCACAGGATCGTTTAATGCCCACAATTGGCAGCACTTTCTTAAATCGGGGCGTTATTTTCTCTGTCGTGTCTCTTGGTTAAGCTGCCGCAGTGCTACGAGCTACATCTGCAGCGGAAACAGGTATAAATAACAGCTAATGAGGCTGCGGCAGTACTTTTAATGGGGGGAAATGTGGTTGGCTCTTGACAGGGCTGAGTGACAGGAGGTCATTACCTCCTGTCTGCGGGATTCACAGGTTCTCATTGGGGTTGACATTTGCACAGAAAGGTAAACAAAGCTTGCAATCTCTTCAGAGCCCATTTAGGCTAATTGCTTTCTGAGCCTTCTCTCTAAACAGGTTAGATTATTCTAATCAGTCCTAATGGACACTATTTTGAAGATCTTGGGGTGCAGTGAGTGAGCCTGACTTTTGTCTTCACTTTTTGTCTTAATCCAGGGAAGGCCATGGCAAAATCTCAGTCTTCGCTGTGAAGATGGCTTTGGGAACAATTTGTGGAGGAAAGATATTAGACAAATTAAGGTGTAAGTTGTCCATTACCTTTCGCACTTTGGGGTTTAAATCAGTTCTTGTAGTTTCAAAAATGACCTCATGCTTCTCAGGATACAGGATACGGGGTTGTTGCCGGTCATGGGCGCTTATTTGTGGAACTCATTTGCTTAAATCTGACTAAAGAGGCAGCAGAAACATAAACCACCTATAAATATCACCCAGCATGACTTATGGCATCTCAGTGCTGAGAGAGAACTTGGTCACTGAATCTCTTATAGTATTGTGTGCACAGGAAATTCAGTTTGACAGTATTTAAGGGACTAATATCAGTGTCTGTTATTGCTGTTTGTTAAATCTCAAACAGTTTTTCAGCCCAAAATACACTATTACATGAGAAATACATATATATATATACTGTATACACACTATATATTGTGTGTATAAATAAGCTTTCTGTATCTTTTGACTTATTTTTTAACAATTGCAATCAACACAGTCAATGAAAATGTATTCACTTGCCTTTTTATCGTGAATATATCAGTTCATTATTTCATACTGTAGAAAATTTAGCGAAGCAGATGAAAACAAACAACACCTATTGTAAGGAACTGACCTACCCCTGCAGGAGGGCATTGATAAGCCCGAATGTGATGTAGTATTTCTTTTTACCCTGTGTTATTATTTGCATATTTGGCAGAGCTTTTTTACATATTGTTTGCATTTCGGTGTATTTTTTTAACACGTCGTTTTTACAAAATTCGCTAAAGCATGCGAAACACAAACAACAGCCATTGTAAGTGATGTGTTATTACAGTGAAAGTCCGGTCTTTATAGTTAAACAGACAAAATTCCTCCTTAGCAGATTTTGCCCATTGAATCCGAAGTCCGTTTAACCTGGAGTTCACCGTATCCAGTTATGAACAGAACTTTATACTGAACCGATCTGCAGGTTACCAGAGAGATAGTCATAACAAGTACAGTCGTATCAGTCTGTTTACTCATTATGATATTTTTTTCATTTTAAGCCCCTTTTCTGTTAATTGTTATGTTAATTTCTGTGACTGTGCCGGTAGTATTTTGCCCTCTTGTGCTGCCAGTTGAATTATTTACGCATTGTAAAAGGGATTTTGCCTTTGGACGTTTCCAGCGTGTTCCATTGTGCAATACATTTGAACCCCCTTGTCAATTGGCCCATTATTTCTCACTGCATGTATTTTAAGTGCAAGTGCATATTGTAGCTGAGTTTAATTTAAACAAAAATTTCAAAATCTGGGTTATATTGTAATTCTGAAACAATTTGTACGATTTGTGTCTGGAAAACAGAGGTCACTATAATTTTTTTTTTATTTGAAGATTGACAGTTTCAGTCTATTCTTTCCATTTCATATAAATATTTAAATTGAATGTTTTTGAGAGATCAGTGTGGCTATTATATGAAGCCCTCTTCATGAGGGATGTGACTCCCTACTATATCAGAGCTGCGTGAAATGCCTAAGATTTTAAAAAAATAACATATTTGAAAGAACTGCTTCCAAGAGGCTATGTACTTTAAAACAAGATTATCAAATTGGTTTAAGACTGATCTGTGTGGCTAGGATTATCATCAGTTTGGTTTAAAATGTGGGTATCTCATAACTTTTCTCTGTTTATATGAAGAGAAACAAATTCATAATGTGCCAGTCTCAGGGCGGAGCGATGGCTCTGTGGCTCAGGATCTGCCCCTGTGGCTGGAAGGTTGCCGGTTCGTATCCCGTGGCCAGCAGAGGAATCCTACTCCATTGGCCCCCTGAGCAAGGCCCTTAACCCCAACTGCTCCAGGGGCACTGTATAATGGCTGACCCTGTGCTCTGACCAAGCTTCCCTCCCTGTCTGTGTGTCAGGGTATGCGAAAAGACAAAGTCCGAATGTGAGAAATTGTATATGGCCAATACAGTGATCTTATCTTAAGATCTGGCACGTTTATGATTGCATAGTGTTAACCATACATTATGAGGGCATTATCATTTGATCTCCACAGGCTTCTGAAACACCCCATGTTACCAGTGAACTTGGACCAGTACATTTACACTGTACAGTTTTCTGCCAGGACATTACCAGTCTCTGCTTTTCACTGTAACCTTTGCACTTCACTATGCTCTGTTGTAAATAATAGGCCACCTTTTTTTCAAGCTTTAAGTTATTTACAGCCTTTTTATGTTCTACAATTATCACATTTTATACATCTCTCTGATCTTTGCTAAAGCTGTTTCATCCTCTTGCTACTGGAGAAAAAAAGAGACATCAGGCGAGAACATGGCACTCTAATATGATTATTATTCAAAATCCTTGGTACATGGTACAGTCTGAATCAGATACAGTTGCTGACCAAATTGTTAGAACCCTATCTCTCCAGCAGAGCTTATTCACTAATTCGTACCACCAGTCCCTTGACTCCTACAAAACACCTGTCACTTCTTACCACATCCTCTGTGACATGGTTGTAAGAAATACTCTATATCAACAAGTTTAACAACAAAAATTATTTGCTGGACAAACCTGTTTGACAAACCTGTCCAGTACATGTCCAGTACGTACCTCATGTATGCTCATACCACTGCTACAGTATGAGTCCTTTGTGATTCGTTAAACTATGGTTAACACTGATAATTGCTTGTTGCAGTTGTAGTTCAAGTGTTAAGTGAAATATTCCAGACACAGGGCAGGAATACATTTTTCTACAGCAACAAGATTTTCTCTATACGGGCCTGGATACTCATCCCCAAAATAAGGGCAGTTATAAACACTGAGATGACACAAGATAAGATGAGGAAGAAGTTTCACAGAACCCTGCCCCTTGACTGTTTGATTTCTTGCTTGTCAGTAACATCCTGGTCAGTTCTCTAATGACTACTGTTGTTCCTCCAGAAATCTTTAACTCGCCTTGCAGTCTTGTGTTCTTTATTCTGGTTTCCACGTTGAGTGAAAAAGCCAGCAGGGCAGAGATGAATTGTGAATAAAAATATATCACCTGTCAGATCTCAGCTTGAATTAAATTACAGGGAGATGCACCAACAAATGTGCTGATAAGATCACTAGCTGTGATCTGGATGATGGAAGCCAAAATGTCACTGGTTTACATTTCTTTCAGACACAAATGCCTTCTTTCTGTTGGAAGAAGTTGGGCACTTCTAATTTGTTCCAGCCGTACTAGGTGCTTCCTTATTCTGTTTTCAGATATTTTCCCACACATTGCTGATGCCGGAGGGGCGATGATATGTTCGAAGTTTGACCTGTTCTTGAGGGAGGTGCTGAAACTGCCCACCACAGTCTTTGAGGGACCTTCCTTTGGTTACACTGAACAGGCTGCCAGGTCCTGCTTTGCACAGCAGGTGAGTCTGGCCTGCTGTTTAATATTCATTGATTGCCGTCAGTGTGGGGTGTCCGTCATTCATGCAGACTGATTCTCTCCAGCGCCGCGCCTGGGCTGTCCTGATCCCGCTCTGCATATCTGCTGGTGATCAAGTCTCGCTGTTCACCCCAAACTGCTTTAGGGGTTTCTGAAGCAAGAGCGCTTTGATTTGGACGAAAATTCGCAGATGGCCTCATGGTGCTGAAATGTCCTATTTTCGAGGCTGTAGATGACCAGACTCCTCCCTCTCTGCAGGATATCAGGAATCAGTCATTGCTTGATTTAGATCCTCTGATCCACACGTGCCTTCTCCTCTTGCCATCTACTGTTACTTTTAGCAGACGTTTTGCAAAGATGAATTGACTGTGGTTAACCAGCCTTTAGGAGGGACAGAGATAACAGTGGCACGGTTTAGAAATTGTATTCGTTTTGAAGAGGAGTTAGCGAATGCCTCCTTTCTTTCTGTTTTGGAAGTACCCAGATATTGTTCGAAAGATTGAATAATCACCTCCCCTACCCCAGCCACCTCTCCCAGGGGCGAGGATATTACTCTGGATACAAAGACAAGGATGGCGAGAGTCATCCCCCCTAAAATACTTCAGCTCTTCCGGGATACTCTGTGGTTTTAGGGTCCCCTTCTGGAAAGAAAAATAGAAGTACAGACTTGCCTGTTGCCTTTTACTTAGGTGACTAAGTAAAAGACGTTTTTTTGTTCTGGTAGTCTTTAACAAGTAAGTGTTGGTCTTTTTTAAGAGGTGGCAGTGAGAGCAATTACACAACACAAATGTACAGTTGCACAAATGTCATAGACAGCAAGTCAGCGGCAGGAGATCCTGTTTTGTTCTTAAACAAAAAGCCCTGATTTAGTTCTTCAGTCAGCGCTTGGCAAATGGTTCCTCCTGCTGGGCCCAACAATACAACCCTGCCCCCTGTTGGATGGAAGAGGTCATTAAAGTGGTCCTTCTAAGGGTTTCTTTGTTTGGCCCGACAAAACTCTTGACTCCTTTTTTTGAGGGGAGCTATGACTTATTGCAGTGAACAGTTTGACATTGTGGCTCCTTGATCTTACTTGCTTTCCACATGCTACTATGTGTAAGTTCTGCTAAAGCAAGGATTTTTTTCTCTTTTATTCTATAATAACAAAATAACATTTATATCTGACTTATTTGCTTAATGGGAGTAATGTTTTAGCATTTTAAGGGCCCATCCATAGAATCTCTGTATCTGTACAGTTAAAAAGAAAATTAGGAAAGTTAATGAACCACAAGCAGGTTCTGTTTGGGTTACAATTACAAGCATATTCATGAGCATGGACCCGAACCCATTTCCTGGCTTTCTGGTGTTATTTCAGTGTTGCCCAGTATTGAAGGTTTTAATGTATTAGCCCTGACAGAACATTTGAAATCACCAGTCTGTTATGGGCTTGCTGATGCCATTCAATATTCTTTCTTTATTTTATATTACTGGATGATGTTAACTGCTTCTCTGTTGTTAAAGAGTGAATGATGTACATAGATTCCATTCTCTATTTCTAGATCATACCGTTATTTTATTTCAGGATCAGCAGATTCTTGATAAGTGGGATCTGTTCACAGCTGTCAGCCACGTTCTTAGCAGCACTTTATAAAATTGCAATGTCCGGGTGGATTTTTAACCTTGAATCAGTTTTGCTTTTATTGCCGATTTGTTGCAAGTAAAAAATATTTTTTTGTTCAAAACTAGAACATTCCCTTGTCTACAGTATGTATCTGTGTGGAAGTGTATAACATGTTTTTTTTCTTTCTTGCGTATTCCCAGAAAAGGGTTACCCTCAACGTTTTCCTGGACTCAGTTGTGTCTGATCCACCTCCTCAGTGTCTGGTCTGGCTACCACTCATGCATCGACTGGCAAATGTAGAAAATGGTGAGCTTTATATGTAAAAGTATTTTTTTGGCAGCTTGCAATGCTAATAGAAAAGGCATGTGACCAAATTCTGAATAACACACCAAGCTAGACATAAACCTCAGCATTTAAAAGCAAGTGCAGCTGCTCAGTTGACTCCTCTTTTTTCAAAAACATGAATATCTTAACGGTCTGAATCCTGGACAGAATTAAGGAAAAATAAAATCCCAAATTGGGAATTGTGGATGAAGCAGGATGTGAAATGCAGGGTTAGCAGGAAAAAGAGGTAAGAGGTTTAACTAAACTTACAAAATTGTAAGATCCTTCTCACATTTGAAAGAATCGGTAATAATTTCTAGCAGTTTGATTTCTAATTAAATCTTTAGTGTAATACATCATCAGATTGTGAACACTGAACATCAATTTTAATGACATGATATTGCAATTTAAATGATTTAATGATTGAGTCTGTTAAATCATGGTTAATGAGCAAGATTATACAAGGTGTCTTGAGTGCATCTGCAGAGTGCTTTAAAACATTTCTGTCAAAACATGCCCAATCTGTCTTTGGCACGGTGCTGAAGTATATGATTTATCAGTTGCGACATAGAACATCAGGCATTAAACCACGTTTCGGAAACACGCATCAGATTGTGTTGACTGGCCTGATGACTGGCCTGCCCTCCACACAGATCATCTCCAACCCCCGATTCCGTTACCAACGCCATTATGGGAGAGAGGATATTTGGTATTTAGCCAGCAGTCGATCTGACGCCTTTGCCATTTTACAGTTGAATGGCAGGAGTCGGACTTACACAAATCTGCCATTATAGGGGGGAGATGCTTAGGGTTTTTTGTTTTGTAAAAAAAAAAAGCTACCGCTCTGTGCCAAAGTTACCCAGCTGCAGACGCAGAGGCCTGACAGATTCCTGCTTGTTTTCCTGGTACACAAACGCGACTCTGACAGCCTTTTCTCTTTCTCTCTCTGCCCCCCACCCCCCGCCCTGCAGTCTTTCACCCCGTGGAGTGCTCGTACTGCCACAGCGAGAGTATGATGGGGTTCCGCTATCGGTGCCAGCAGTGTCATAATTACCAGCTTTGTCAGGACTGTTTCTGGAGGGGCCATGCGAGTGGTTCCCATAGCAACCAGCACCAAATGAAGGAGTACACATCATGGGTAAGAATCCAGGGCTGCCTCTGCCTCTGCCTGGCTTGCAGGGCCTTCCTGCGCATCAGAGTGCGGCGTGGTGTTGTTTTGCTGTCGGGTCAGTGACCTGGAATAAAAATCCCCGTTGTTTTCAAAGGGTTTTTTTTTTCGTTTAAAGTCACCTTTGGAAATTAAAGATCACTCGAGGATCTCGGTTCGGCTTCGGAGAGGAGGGGAAGGCCGGTGGCTTTCTGCCCTCGCACGCTCGGTCAATAAGAATCCGATTGGAAATGGGAAGTTAATGAGGCCACTTACTGTTTCTTAACCGTTCACCACCGGAAAATCGATCTGATTGAATTGAGGACCAACATTTGGGCAAAATGTTACTTTTCCCTCCTCTTTCTTAAAGCACCCATTCTGCTAATGGCTGGTTGACGGCGATTTATTGTTATAAAAATCATGTTATGCATGCATGAGTTTTGTAGTACAAATACTGGCAGACGTACTGTGGATGCAAGTTCAACAAGGTTACAATTTTGTACTTCTCTAGTATCGAAAATTATTACCTCAGAGCATACAGTCTATGAACCGAGAAACTCATGTCAATATGTTATATTGTAAAAAAGGAAAATTCCTGCTTTAGACCTCCCAGGTCTCCCTGCCTTTTGCAAACTTGTATTAGTTCTTAAAATGTATTTTCATATCATTAACCAATTAGTGCAGAATTCACATAAATCATGTCACCACACTGACAACTGTTAAATCCAAATCTCGCACCGTGTAGAGAATTTAAATTCAGTAGATTAAGCCAATCTTGCACACTCCTGCATAAATCACATAAAATAAGGAATATGCATTATTGGTCTAAATCACATCCTAAGATTTCATATTGAACAATCTAAAAATGTAATTCTTTATATACTGTATACATAGATTTCTTGTAATATTGCTACAAATACTTTTTTAAAAGTGCAGTTTTGCCCTTTCTTCTGCTCCGTTTAAATGGGATGGCCACATCCTTGATCCTTGACAATACCCTGACGCTCTTCAACAAAATGAGAACTCCGCAGACCTTCAAATTGCCTTCAGTACCGGTTTTCTTCAGAACGGTTTTTATTGTATGCGTCGTTGTATGTGCCCTCGTCGATGTTTCGCACGCACGTCGGCCACAGGGAAAACCGGTTTTAATAGAGTGGGCGGACCCAGCCGTGCTCCTGCGGTGGTTTTGGTAGGGTGTGAACTCCTCTGTAGGCGCGCTCTACAGCGAGGGATTGTGCCTCTGAAGCACAGGCCGGGGGCTGACATGCACCGCGGTCGAAACAGTCCAGTGTCTTTTTTCACGCAGAATGTGGTGAAGGAGAAGCCCATTGAACAGTAAGTTGCGTGTTGACTTCCACCCCACCATGAAGATGACCGCCTCTGTCCATCGATTTTGTGTGGAGAAGGAAGCATTAAATTACTCACGTGCCGATTGCAACAACTGGAGCAGAAAATGACATTTTTTTAAGTCTTCACAATAACCTTTGTCTTTAAGGTTACGACAATATCCAAGAAAGCTCAAAAAATGTCAAATGTATCCCAGAGTTGTGGGTAATGAAAGACTTAGGTCTCTCATGGAGAGAGCTGTTGTGCAACTGCACGTTCATCATTACTTCAGTCATTAATTCTAATACAGGCTAATTTAATCTAATAGTCTGCTTTAAAAATAGATGAACATCTTATGCTGTAGCAAAGGAATTTAACTAATATCGATATCAGTCCTGATAACAAAAATATCAGTTTGCACATTGCTATTAAGTATTACATAATGTAGTTTCTGATTCCCCCACAGTAGGATTATTGCTCTTAAAGATAAATTATAAAATTGGCAAAAAATATTTTCACAGTAGCAGATCCATCTTATAGCAAACATTATCAATTTTTTTTCAATTTCGTTTGACAAGACTGTTTCTTCATGTGTTTTTGATCACTGTTTTTATATTTAAACTAAAAATTTGCCATTGCATTAGATTACTTGTCATTGTTGTGCTCGTCGGGATGTTGACTGTAGTTCTGCTTCTTCCGCCCAAACTCACCCACAGCCTCCTTGTTCCTCCTAGAAATCTCCTGCTAAGAAGCTAACTAACGCACTTAGCAAGTCCCTAAGCTGTGCTTCCAGTCGTGAGCCTTTGCACCCAATGTTCCCTGACCAGCCTGAGAAACCTCTAAACCTGGCCCACATTGTGTAAGTATCCATATCAGAGCCTGCCTGCCTTCAACTGTCTTTGGTTGTTTGCTTTGATTTCTAATTTGACACAAACCATTTCCCTGTGCATCTTATTAAAGCACCTGTCAATATAGTGCTCATCTAGACAGCCAGTGTGTTAAATTGCAGGACTACAATTGGATAACAACCTTAATGCAGAATTCTATAAGGAAAATGAGAGATCTCCAAATTATTTTGCGGGGTGGTTGTGATGGGAGTGGGATTTCAACTCACGTCCTGCATTTCATTTGTCATTCTAGTCTGGCTTTTTTGAGACAGTGGAGGGACATTGTCAGATGCGTGCTTAAGAGCAAGCACTGGGATATTACAAACACCCCCGCGTGTGTAAGACGTTGGTGGCTTTGTACCTGGGCCTGCTCTGAGGATGGCAGGTGTATCTGAAGGTACTCATGGTTCATACTGAACCTTACCTGCTGAGACACCCTGTTCTCTTCTGTTGCAACCTTAGAATTACCTTAGAATGGCCCTTCCAGAATCCTGTGGAACCTCCTGGCCTTTGCAGCCTTTGTTTTGTTGATATATCGACTGGTAGAGCCACACTGTGGCGTAGTAATTCACTCTGCCTCCTCGCAGGTCTTGGGTTCTGGGCTCAGGGCTGGCCTGTGGCACCTCCTATGTGGGCTCCAGTTTTCTCCCCCCAGTCCAAAGACTTGCTGTCCAGCCTCGCTGTGTGTCTCGTGTTTCTGAAAATGGATGGGAGAATGGATATAGACAAACCAGTTACCGGAAACACTAGAATAAGTCCTAATTTTCTCCAAAAAAATAATACTTGAAATATTTAACAATGCATATGTAGGCTGATCAAATTGCTGTAGATGAGGATCATTGGTGGCTCAATCGAGCGTCAGTGGAAGAACTCCACTTTAAGATATTCTTCATGACCACCTGTCAGCGAGACTGGCAAGACGATCTCTGATCTGTACCTAAAACAGTAGTCTAGATCTATGAAATCTGTCCCATTTCAGTGGATGCTCCCTTCTGGGGGAGACTTGGCTCCTCCAGGACAGCACAATGATTTTACAGTTAATCTAGATTTTTTATTTAAGAATCTGCCATTATTTGGCTTACTGCCATACCCCCGTGGGCAGAATGAGGAACAGCAGACACAGCTCTTCTGACCTGTTCTCTCTGCATTCGTCGTTCGACATGCTGCAAGCTTTGCAGAGATCTCCAGGAGGTTCACTGCCTGCTGGAGGAGTCTTGCACTGCACTGTGCTTGCCAGTCCCTAGGAAGATACAGGGGATTGTGTTTCACTAGGAGCCTAAATCCAGCTCTACCACCAGTAGCTAATAATAGATCTCGGGAAATTCTAGTCCCAGTCAGCTAGTGACATGACCCAGGCATGACCTGTGACCAGGTCATAAAGCTCAGCCTCTGTTTGGACCAAGCTCATTTATCAGTTGAGCCACTGAGGAGATCCACAGAAATCAATCTTTTAATTAAGAGACAGGGATGTTTTCAGTAGTGATTATCATAAGCAGTCCTATTCAAAGTGTTGAAATTAAAACAGCGGATGATTTGTCGTGAATCTTTATATCCAGAACAATTACAGTTCTTATCCTTTTCAGGTATTCGCACTATATGATAAGATAAGATCACTTTATTGGCCATAGACAATTTCTTATATTAAGAATTTGTCTTTTCACATACCCCAGCTTGCTCTCCATGAGACACACAGACAGGTGGAGAAGCTTGAGGTCAGAGCGCAGGGTCTGCGCCATTTATACGGCTGGAGCCCCTGGAGCATTTGGGGTTAAGGGCATTGCTCAGGGGCCCAAAGGAGTAGGATTCCTCTGCCGGCCGCGGGATACGAACCGGCAACCTTCCAGCCACAGGCGCAGATCTATAGCCACAGAGCCACCACACCGTCCCGATTGTTTTTTATTTATAAGTATTCTAGATTTAATACTTATTGGGCTTTTGTTCTTTCCTTGTGTTACAGTAAAATAATTTCACTTAGGACTGTATTAAATGGTTTGATGTTTGACTTTAATAAAATTGTGTTTATGCTTTTTCATTGCTGGACAAAAGCGATACTTGGTAAGTGTTCTAAGCTTTCTTGAAAACTGCAATTTGAAAGCTGGGATTTTTGGAAAGTAAAATTAAAACTTCCTTTGTTTTAAACCCCTTTTGGCACATAATCAGAAATGAAGTAATTTCACAATTGTGCTCCTGCACTCGGTAAACGTGAGAATTCTCGTGACTTTGCTTGGTTTTTTAAAATGTGCTTTTGATAATGGCCTTGAATAATGGGGGAAAGCAACAACAAATCAAGAGAACAGATTGCAGTACAGCAAAATGCTTGTTAGTGCCTTTTTTATAAAAGGGTTTTATCTTTTGTTAATTTGACTGCCGTTTTGTTCAGAGTGAAACAGGATGAAGCTGTCTGCCGCGCCGAGTGGCTCACAGAAGTTATGTCCGAGCCGCTGGCTGTAGCTCCTCTGCGCTGCAGCAGTTAGGTCTGGGTTTCTCTGCAGCGTATAGCAGCAGAAGACCTGAAATCGTTCTCCAGCCACCGGGTCACTAAACCTCGCTTTTGGAGGTGCAAGGAACTGGTAAAACAAAGTGGAGGGGAGTAGGATGGGTGTGAATGTCACAAAGACTATTCCAGCGAGGAAACGGGCCTGGTATTCCAACTATATTGTTCCATTTTTTCTCCCTCTATTGTAATACATTAGAAAAGCTGATGAACTGTGGAATGTAATATGCCTGCACTCTCAGTGGAAAGGTATGGTGATCGGATGGTCACCCTGTCATCGTGTGGGCTGGCGGCCATAGGATTTCGAACTGTAAGGTTCGCCCCTGTTCTCTGATGGCTAATTAAGATGAGCTGATATGCTAATGCTCTGATTGAGTTAGTAGAAAAGGGCTCCCGAAAGGTGACAAGTCAGTCATAACTGAGCACTGATTAGTAGAGACTCGCTGCTGGAGAAAACACTGGAAAGGAAAAGGAAACACCGAGGCCTGGAAATTTCTTATTCTTTTCTTGGTTTTTTTTTAAGAGGCTGTTCTAGCTATTTAGATGTACTGTGCTTAAGGAATACGAAATAAGTTCCACTTCGATATCCTGCTTCTGCCTCCTGCATGGTTCAGATAGTCCAGCTTGTCACACTATGACATTCTTGTTTTAAATTATTTCCAAATGCTTAATGAATGTGGAGGGAAGATGAGTTGTTATTTTATGGACTGTTGGAAAAATATATATAGCTTTTGTATGAGGCTCAATGTTATATTCTGGATACATATATATTAAACATGCATATATATAAATGCAATATATATATAATAATTTATATATGCAATTAATTTGCCTTTTTTACCAATCAGGGTATAAGGGAACAGTGTACTAAATTGGTCCACTGGAGATAGAAGCTATCTCCTTTCCCAAACCCCACACAGTTCTCGCAGGAGAAGGAACATACAGCCTGGCAGTGCGTCAGTGTCGTTTTAAAAGCGGGTCTCACAGGGCAGGTTTAAAAAGGCTGAGGGAGACGTCAGGCTGGCAGGTTTACAATTAAAGAAACGATGATGTCTTTCTCCCCACTAGGCCGCCGAGACCCGTAAACAGCATGAATGACTCCATGTTCTCTCACTCAGTTCCCACCTCAGGAAGCCCTTTCACAAGTAAAAGGTGAGCATCGGTTTCATTAGAACACTGCAGCCTGTGAGGCAAGGGAGTTTAAAGAGTGTGAACCCTTTCATCTGGAAGCATCAAATAAAATCACTTTATCCACTGTGTTTTAATTAAATAACTAAAGACCAGGCTTTTTTTTTTCCAGAAGCCCAGTGTTCTAAGCAAAGTGTTCCTTTATGCTCTTACTGTAATTGGTGAATGCAATGCCAGGTTAGGCTGGGGTTGAAAACTAAAGTACTTGCTATTAGGTTTGTGCAGAAGGAATTGTGTGCATTTTGCATGACGCAGAAGCTCAGTGGGATGGAGTGGTGCCACAGATGAGTTAATATCCGTGTCGTATAAATGGTTCTGTGCTATGACGTGCATACAGTGGGGACTGTTTCAAAGTGCAATTACTAAAAATAAAATAACTGAGGCAGTTAACTGAGCGTGAAGAAGCCTAAATTTAATGTTTGAAGGACAAAAAATGGAATAAACCAGCTGTTGTACACAGGCATTTTCATGCTAAGCACTGTCTTAATTTCTGCGACACTAACTGGGCTATACAATTTTTATAGTTACTGTGAGATTTAACTCAGTATAGTTTTTATTATTATAAAGGATGGTACTTTTCTATGGGAAATAAAGTAGATCATTTCTGTGTATTTTTTTGCTTTTTTGGTAATTTTCTAAAGCAAGGGATGTTTTTTAAATGTTTCCAAGAATTAAGTTCAAATGTCAAGAAGTTTGTGGTCAAAGCTAGTTCTCAGAACCAAAGATCCCCCAAAAACATTTTGGATTTTTACCAGTTCAAGGATTCTGTGACATTCATCGTCAATCTGAATGATCTCAGCCTGCACTGAGCGATGATGGTCTCCACGTGATCTTTTCAAGATATAAAAAAATAATTCCGATAACTCTGTGCTCTGAACCCGCCCATCAGAGGTGCTCGTATTTGGCAAATTAAAAAAAACTTTCACTGGTGAGTGTTTAACGAATATTCTGAGGGGACACAAGATTAAAAAACACATTACACATCATAGACAAAAGACTTGCCTCAAAGCAAAATTTGTGTTATTACAAAAATGACAGCAATGCTAGCAAAGGGGGTAACATAACAGAAAAGGGGGTAACATTGCACAGAGTGAGCGATGGCTTATGACGACATCAGAAAACGTCAGTTACATGATGGTAACTGTTAACACAGGGATAAGGGGGAGCGGATTAAGGAAAAGCCATAGATCTGTTTGGGATGAACTTGGAACAGAAAAAAGGGATAAAATAGTTTGGGGATAAGGGCAGAGTTTGCCAGTAAAAGGATTAGAGCTGACGTTCTCTTAGGCACCTCATAACACGTTAGGCAGCATGGCAGAACTAAGACGGTCAGGGGGATCAGAGATAGATCACTTTATTGGCCAAATAAGTAAGTTTTCACTGACAAGGAATTTGACTTGGTGAGTTGCTCATACACGTTACACATACTGACATACCATATATACATAGACACATAAAACACGAGATACATTTCGGAAATTAACGGAAAAATATATATTGCACCTCTAGAATGTGTCAGAACTCTACCTGCGTGTGATAACCCCATACATACAGTATATACACATTTGTAAATGCTAAATAAACTGTCCATAATAAATATCCATATACAGATAATAATGTTATGTATGCACGGAATGCCGTGGTTGTGAAAGTCTCTGTGACATTCATCGTCAGTCTGAATGATCTCCGCCTGAACTGAGTGACGGACGGTGGTCTCCACGTGATCTTTTCAAGATAAAAAGAATAACGTCGATAACGCTGTGCTCTGAACTCCCCCTTCCGAGGTGTTCCGAGTGTTTAAGAGATAAGTCTCCCGTGTCATTTGAAATCTTGAGTCGACAGACTTTTTTACACGGCGAAGTTGAAGGCACTCTGGAAGCAAAGGGGCACCACACTCCACTCGCCACACGCCTGGAGCGATGAGGCTGGCAGCATCCTGGGGCCCAGGCGGTCAGGGCACTGCTGAGGGTGCCTCACTATCTGAGGATGCAGACAGCGTGGGGGACACAGCGTGCTGCCCTGCGGTGGCCGGGGGTAAAAACTGGAGAAGGTGTCCACTAGACAGTAGACAGGCTGTTGGAAGCTCTTGCTGTCAGAGAAGATGAAAACAGCACAGCTCGAAAGGACAAAAACAAATTGTCAGAGAATTAGCAGTAGCAGTTAGCTCTTACCTGGTCACAACCTCAGAAACATGGAACCGTGACTAATTTAGTGAAGAGTGCTTGAAACGGGAGCGTTAAAGAAGGACAGCCCATATTTCTCACATTTCCCTGAAATAATTAGGGGCCGTTGTTTTAACTTTTCAACAGGTTGACATTACCAGCCCTTTGAAGCCTCTTTTATGCCCTTGAGAATGGTCACAAAATGTGCTTATGCAGTTTGCAAAGTTGTATAAAAGACCGAAAGACTGACTAGCTGAGAAGCAGCAGGATGAGTGATACTGTACCGCTGTGTTTTCGAAAGTGCTACATAGCCTTCAGTGGGGCCTCAAGTCCACCCTGCAACAGCGCTTAACTCCCACCCCCTCTAACTTGCACTTACTCCCAGTGAAGTTTAAAACAGACTAAGTTTCACCTGCTTGTGTAAAAGGCGCTGAATAGTCTAGCACCGGATTATTTTAAGCACTTATTGCAAGAGTACAGGCCAGAAATGTGCCATCTGCTGATTTAGGCCTTCTTACTCTGCCAAAGACAGGCCCTATGCAGTGAGTCTTCTCACGTGCAGAACTACTGCATGTCTGTGGAGTTCCTTCTGCAAATCAGTTGGAGACTACATTTTGAAATCTGGCTTAGACACCTATATTTTCACTGAAGCCTCTAATATAATTTATCTTACAGTTTAGTTTTGCTCTTGGTTTCACTGTATCAGTTTGCTGTGCTTTATTTTCAAACTTCCACATGATGCACCAAAGAAGTAAAATTAATGGGTGCTTTAGTACAGCACTCTGCGTCTCTTGAAACTCAAAAAAATAAATGTCTATTTTTGTTAACTACTGTTCTGTAGTACAGCAAAGTGTACTTTGAAGAGGGCGAGATATTCACATTTGTAAGCTTGATTTTTTTTTCCCAGAAATCCTTTATTAAGGGCTTACAGCAGTTACTGATACGATGCTTATAGCAAACGTGCTCAATGTGCGAATGATATTTGAATAGATTCTTCTGTCGTTTCAAGCTCTGCAATGGTGAAAGTTTGGGCCATGTGATAATACTCTTTTATGTGTCTTTGATGACCCTTGCTGCCTAATAACAGCCTCAATGCTTGAATTATTTAGGTGTGAGGGTGCAAACCACCCCAGTCCCGTGACTGATGAAGCAGATGGTGATGAGCATGCTCTAATAAACCTGTATGTAAGTCAGCTAACCAGCGACTCACGGTCAGTATCCGGGAAACACGATACGTGTAGTAATGTAGTACTGTAGGAGTACTGTACTAAAGCATTAGCTCATACCCATTAACCCTTGTGCTGTCTAGTTCAGCTTAACCACTTTGTTTCCTGAAAAGGGTCGTGATAAACGTCTATTACTGTATCCAGCTACCGTACGTAATCACTTTTTCATTGTAGAGTCACTCTATTCAGCAAAACCATTTTGATCCTTTTTTTTTCCTTTTAGACACCACATTTTCCATTATGAATTTGGTTGTAACGTGCAACTACAACTATCTGATCTTCTATGTCTATGAGGAAAAAAGAGGCTCCTAATTTAAGTGGCTGGTGTAAGTGTAAGGTGATGTGAACTGCTGTAGTATATTCTACTCGTAGCGGATCTACATGAATTTCCGTCTTGATGAATCTAACGAAACTCATTTAGTGTAGAGCTTTGCATGTGCAGGAAACTCTAATCTAACTTGTCTCCAGTGCCAGCGGTCCCTTTTTACTAATAAAAGCTTTTTTCACAACAGAAGCACCCTCCATCTAGTGTCACTTTGCATCTTTAGATTTGTGGGATTGTTTCTGGGTTCTGGTGGCATTAATGACTGTTTTGCAAGCTCTTGGAGTATTCTCTTTTGCTGTCCCTTGTGTGTCATCCACACATGAGGTTTACTGCTCTTTCACAGTCATATTGACTGTCATATACTCATATTGCAATATAGAACCAAAACCTTTTTTTTCCTGTTATAAGGTGAGCATTTTTACTGAATCTGAAGGCCAATTGTGAATCGGTCAAGTCTTTGTCCTCTATTTTTTTTCTGTAATATGCAAGGAGTACATGTTGCTGGTCTGATATCAGATTAGGGGCTCGGGCCCCATTCACGTTAATCCTCCCAAGCATGGTTCATGTCTCCACTTGTCATGAAGCATGGCCATCGCTCTCTAGCTCTCTTCCATCATGGTCTTCTCAGCATTTTTTGTGGGCATGTTTCTTGTGCCGCGGTACTAATTGTACTGTGGGGAGAACCTACAAAAAGGAGACGCCGTCCCAACGGCTTTTTGGCTCTTCGCTCTTGCGGAATTGCAAGTTCGCTCATCGCCTCTCTTTGTGTATTTGTGAAATATGTGGAAAATCTCCAAACCCAGCGAGTGTCTGTAGGCATTCTTAAAATCTTTCTGATCTTCCTGCACGGGAATTTTAAACCGCCTTTTCTGTTCTGAGAATTGAAAGTAGCCAGACTGTCCTGTTGCTGTCTGCTAACAAGCAGCAGCTCTCACCCAGAAACCACCTGGCTCCACCTTTTTAATTTACTCTTTATTTCTTTCCACCTTTTCACCTCTTTTCCTTTATGCTTATTGTTTCTGCGTGCTCTCGGCTTCCCTGTGGAGTTTGGTCACTCTCTTTATTTGCTGCTGTTTGCCTCTCTTTTATTTTTTTTCGTTTCAAAAGCTTACCTTACACCAAGAACGACGAAGTAGAGCAGAGCAAACTCTTGGTCAGAGCTGCCCCGTCTCTGCTGAAGGGGAAGGGGTAAGTGACAAAGGTGCCCGTCTGTTTGTGCGGGTGCATAGTGCTCCTCTGTAACCCCCTGAGTGCAGTGAGACAGAACAAAGCCGCAATTTCTAACTCCAGTTAACCCGTCGGCAGGGCCAGGCGGAATATGCGTCAGCCCTGTGGGAAATGAAAACGATGCAGAATTTCCACAGAATTCAATGCTTGTTTACTACGCGTCCAAGATAAAATATTAGGCAGCGTCACACTTTACCATTGATTAAAACACCAGTACTACGGCGAACTGTGTCAATCCTAGAACCATGAAAGTCCATGTTATACCACTACAGGTATGTATAGACACACTCTGCATTACTGGTTGCTATGACAGCAGTACCTTCTGTCAGGCCCCGCACTGATATCAAGCACAGACCAGATTTGACACAATAAATTACACTCCATTTCCAATTATGGTTAATAACAATAGTAAGCTACTAGCAAAGAAACTAATGACGCATTTTAAATCGAGTCTTACAGAGTAGCTTAAAAATATAAGTGCATTGCTTTTCATGTCACCCTTATACCGTATTAAACCCAGACGTTGAATATTGTCGTCATAGTTTCCTCTTTCCAGAAAACTAACGCAAAGTGATTTGATATGATCTTCATAACCTCCTGTTATGTTAAAAACAATTAGAGACTGAACTGCTCAAATCAAATCCGGTATATTAAGTCGACAGCAACCAAATGATTTCTTCAAGACAGGCATGAGAATAGGCCTGTTTTTGTTCCAATTTTACTCTGCAGAGTGCAGAGCAATTTTGTTATGCGTTGGCAACTGGATGGCTGCCCCATTAAGATTAGGAGCCTACCTTATGAAGAGAAAGTAAATCATATATCAGCAAATACACAGCTTTAGAATAGATGTCCCAGTGTTTAAGTATGTGTTAAGAGTATTTTGTGATTACAGGTCACTCTTTGGAATCACTTTAATATATCGCTAATAAAATTATTAATTTAAACTGTGGGTTAAACTGAATTCTCTGAAAATACTAATAATTTACGGTACATTTCGATAGATTTAAACATGAAAGGAAGTATTTTATTTTTTCTGATATTTTAATCTTTAATTATTGTTATTAAATGTTTTTTAATGAAGATAATGGAAGCTGCACCTGTGTCAATTCTTCAAGATAGGTGGCAGTGAGCTTGTGGCTTGTTACAGGGAGATCGGCAGACTCAAAATTTTACCTTCTGCAACATTTCATATTATTGTTATTTTAAAAAGTCCCATCTGGCTTTGACATAAAATGAAGTTGTTGTTTTTTTCTACATAGACTTTCATTGAAATTTTTCGCTGCAATTAGTAAAAGAGATTCTGTAGGTGCCATCCGGGCCTGCTCATGAGGTCTTCAGCTTGCTCGGCCACTTGATCCGGGAGTGAGTACATCCTTGGGCTGGTTTTGGGTCGGGCACTGAAGTCCCACAACTGTGACTCTCGACTCCTTGACTTTTCCTGAAAACTAGACACTGAAAATGTTATCAGATTGATAACGCACAACAGTGAACGTTTCACATCCTTTACAGGAAGTAGAATGTAACCTTTAGCTAATCACTCTGTCCTTTCTAAGTACACCCTTGACCACAACCGTAGCAAATTAAAAGCATTGCCTTACCTCACAGTTTGAAATTTATAACACTGACATTTCCAAATTATTTTACTAAGGATCTTGAAGCCCTGACAAATTCATATAGTTGCAGAATGTTATTGATTTTTTTTAATCTTGTCTAAACTCAGTTACAGAAAATAATGATTGTAGTTCTCATTTAAATGTCTGCCTTAATTCAATTCCCAACAGAGCAATCTAAGCAAACCTTCTCAGGCGGTTAAACAGGAGCATATAATTTACAATTGCAGGTGCTTATGCCCATCTATTTATAATGAGAATGATATGTAATGGCACATTCTTTACTACACACTACTAATTGTACTTGTCTATACAAGGGTAAATGTGATTCTTTATGCTTTATTTTTATAACTCTATGAATGATTTGTAATTTGTGAAACAGTCTAGATGGTTTGCTAAAATGCATTGCTTCCAGATTCAACAACCATGTAATATATTCATAATGCTGGAAATAACTGTATTGCTCATTTTTAAGAACAATTTCACTGCCGTTGATGCGGCTACAGTACAGTTCTTTCCAAACGACAAATTTAATACACATTAAAAATGATTATTTTTTATGGAAATGTCATTTTGGGAGGATTAAAGGATATTAGCAGCCTCCAACCTCTACTGCACTTGTGAACAGGTATTTTTCAAACACATTATCTTTCCTCAACAATCATGTTCACATTTAATAGAAGAATTTTCATTCGCAAGTTTGAATTTGACTAGCTGTTCCAAGGAGTTTCTGATTAATCTGGGATATTGTACAGTATAACACACCCAGGCAATCAAAAATGCTTGCCATGCAAAAACTTCAAACCTGGAATAAACCAGTGGAACATCGGAATGAACCAGAAAACATCTGCTGGATGTCAAAACATTCACTCTTAACATTTGTTTTCAAAGCACACAGTTCAAATATTTATATTTTCTTAAATATTTAATAAAGCCTCGACATAGTTTCAAAGAGCAAAATAAGATATTTTGAGTGCAAAGTTATTCCTTCTGTATCAAGTCCTCCATTCAGTATTGACAAATAACTGGATAATTTATAGGAATACTGGCCAATAGGCCAGACTGCTCCCTGATTATCAGGTCAGTCCGACTGGGAAATGTCATCAAATTGCCTGTTACTAATCTTCTCTTTAAAAATAATGGTAGGGGACAAAAACATGGAAACACCTGGGTAAGTGAGGGAGGCCGGCCATATTGAAAGCAAGGGCTTGCACACAGGTGAGGCGCGTGCCTCAGTGAAAGGGGAACTGCAGAGCTATCTTCGTATTTGGGGGTGAGAAAGAGTCAGCATTGATGAGTGCATTTCATACCGCAATAAAAGTAAAATATACACAGTGACTCGTAAAACATCACAAAATAGACAGCAGTTCCGGCTATGGGCAGAGCCATGTTCTGCAATTCAGAACGTGGCAACAAATACTGCGGTGACAAGTGGCCCTATGACATAGTAGATAAGCCTGCTTGTGAGTCATCTCTTTTAATCAAATGGAAATATTGCTTTTGATTTAGAGACAGTTTTGCCGACAGATAACACTTATTTATTATTTCTGCATGCAGATCATGTCGGAACATTGCTGTGTGGTGAAATGTCTGCTGCTCAACCTTTATTTATTCGCTTGTGCATCACATTGCACTAGTCATTACAGTGACTAGTGAGCAGGAAGGGCCGCATCACGTCGCAATTCGTGGGAACTTGAATGCGAGTTTGTGTCAGCATGGCGACTTACAGTACTTTCACAAAGTTCACAATTTTACGCTTAGTTCAAAGTTTGTACATCGTCAATAAATTAATTTTGTAACTGAGAATTAATAATCGGTCTGAGAAATTGCAACTGCAGTACCTCTTTAAGAAAATAACACCAAGCATGCTAAGGGTTATGGGTAACAGTGCTTCACAGGCCTAGTTGTCTGTGATTATTGCTACAAAAGAAGACCTCAGTACCTTTGAAAGAGGGGTGAAACTGGAGAGCAACTGCTTATCAATTAAATATCTTTGCAAATTTCAGTCTGGGGCACGAGCAGCAGAAAACAGAGCAGGACACCCTAGTCAGGTCGCAGTGCAGAAACCTCTCTACACCCCTCCCAATGCACCTTGGGACTCAAGTGGTGCAAAAAGCACAGGCAGTAGCCTGAGCAGTGGAAAAATCTAGTTCTCATTTAAATGTCTACCTTAATTCAATATCCAGCAGAGCAATCTAAGCAAACCTTTTCAGATTCTCAACAGGGGCATATAACTTACAAATGCAGGTTCTTCAGCCCATCTGTTTATAATGGGAACGATAGTATAGAGTATGTAATGGCTGTACTTTTATTTATACAAGAGTGAGTGTCATTTATAAGACCAGATGAATCATCCCTCACCATAATCTTGACAAACTGGTAAATGCAGATGTGGCGCCCTCCTAACTAACTACAGCCAAGAGTGCTCGGTTCTGTATTGATGGGTGGCACAGTTTCTGGCATCGTTTGGGTGCACTCACTCCCTGCGAAGGCAAGATCTATACTAATCCTTACTTCATAGTAGGCAGGAGGGGTTCTTCCAGGATAGCAACACCCCCATTGAGATATTCGGGAATGACAATCAAGGCAACATTTTCCGCCTCCTGGGCCAATCAGACGTGTTCATTTACTTTCTCATGGAAGAATGGTGTTGCAGAATTGTAGACACTATGCCACATTCTGGCCACATATGGTAGCCCCAATGTCCTATAAATTGTGCTTACATTGGTGTTTCCATTTGATTTGTCCACTTCCTTTAAATGCGTGTGCATAAATACAAGACTAGGTGTGTGTTTTGTTTGGTCTTTGTTTGCAGACATATTGGTTTTGAGTTCTGTCAGTCAAACAAACCCTTCAGTCACAAGCCACAATCCAATTACTTAATGACATATTTTGGCTTGATTACATTCTTAGTACATTCTTTAGTTCATTATTAAAATTATTAAAAATGGTAGTCATTCTTAAAATGCTTTGTTCTGAAGTGGTTAATACTGTACAATTTCCAGGATTGACTATTGTATACTAGCCTGTGCATATAACCCAATACTAATAACTGTTAATGTAATTCTGAACTCCATTTCTAAAACTGGATGGGGCAATTAGACCCCAGACTCATTTTATAATAAACCACATACATATAACCAAGCCCAAGCTTCTGTTCTAATTCATTATAGCGTGGTCAGGAGTATTTTCCATAACATTTACAAGCATTGTATTTAATTATGGACTCCTGCTTTGTTCATCAAGCAGTATATTGTGTGTTGCCACACTGAGCCAGATGTGCTGTCATTCATTAAGCAGGGTAGGTGGATGTCTTCAGAGACACTAACATTGCTTCCTTTTCGGGGGTAGTCATCAGGCCAGAGCTTGAAGCCCAGATTAAGACTCACACACTGCAGGGCGAGGACAAACTTTCATTCAAGACCCAGGCAAGACTTGCTGACAAAGATTTACTGTATAACACTGCATAAACCGCAATATGGATCATGTTGTTTTGCGTGTTTTCACTTTCCACGGTTTCTGTTCTGAATACGTTCTTGCATGGAGTTACATTCCCTTTTTCTGTTGTCATTTTCTCATAAAGCTCTTGCTTTTTCTTTTTATTTCCATGTCTGTCTGGATACCCACATTGTTCTAGGTTAAACTACAGCCTAGATGTTGCCGATAGACTGGCTGATGAACATGTGCTCATCGGGCTGTATGTCAATCTGCTCCACAGAAATCCCACACAGTGAGTGCAGGTTTCCCAGCTGGTAACAGCACCCCTGTGCAGCCGAACTGATTCAATGACTGAGCCTGCTTTTCACTCTTGCAGGATATTTCCCTGTGCACTGCATGAGCTGACCACATATGACTGAGTTAAGGATTTAGGGCAACTGTACTGTATATGCTAAATTTAAAAACCAAGGCTGTCATCTCTAATTTTTTTAATCATAATTCTGGTTTATTGTACTAGGTGCTTCAAATTGTAGAGTTGAATTAGGTTTTTTATTTCTTCATCTGAGTGCGAGTAATAGAGCTTTTATTATTTGTTGCTTTTTTTAGTTATTTGTACGGTCATTGTCCTCTCCTCCACAAGATACAGCCAGCATCTTATCACCCTGCAGCTTCAACCTGAAACCTTAGCAGGTGTGAACCTGGCCAGTACCTGGATGGGAGACCTCCTGGGAAAGCTGAGGTTGCTGCTGGAAGAGGTGTTAGTGGGACCAGTGGTGGGCACTCACCCTGTGGTCTGTGTGGGTCCTAATGCCCCAGTATAGTAATGGGGACACTATGCTGTAAAAAATGGCACCTTCCTTTGTATATGAAGTAAAATCAAGATCCTGACTCTACGTGGTTATTGAAAATCCCAGGGCATTTCTCGAGAAGTGTAGGGTTGTTAACCCCAATGTCCTGGCCAAATTTTTGCCCCGGCCTTTACCAGTTATGGTCTCCTGATAATCTCCATCTCTGAACTGGTAGCTGGTGTGTGGTGAGTGTACTGGTGCGCTTTGGCTGCCGTCAGATTATCCAGGTGTGGGCTTTGCACTGGTGGCGGTGGAGGGGAGTCCCCATTATCTGTAATATTCTTTGAGTGGAGTTTCCAGCAAGGTGCTATATACTGTAAGTGTAAGGAATTAAGTGTAGTTATTGTAGGTAGTGCATCATCCTGTTTTGTTTTTTTGTCAGAGGTGGTTTGTATTATTTTACGATAACTTAATGGATTTTTACTAGAGAAGTTTGATTTTTTAGAAAAATTTCAAATTTAGTATGGACCGTGTTACTAAAAATAAAAAGTACCAACAGTTTTCAAATGAACTTGGTGAACTTCTAAATTATAAAATAATATGGCTCTGACACGTATTCAAATATCTCACAGCTTGTCGGAACACCAAGCTTTTGCTGAATATAAAAGCTCTTGGGGGACTGTTATCTTAAATCTTCTGTATTTTTTAAAAAGATGTTTGTATTTTAAAAATTGCACTGCAGAACAGCATTATTGATCTGTTTTTTTCTGTTTACAATAGACTGCTTTTTTATGTACTGCCATTTTCTGACAAAAGGCTGTGAAATATCTGCAAAAATGTTGATTCTAGTGCAGTAATATCCAAATAAAGCTTGATAAATGTGAAGTTTTATGCTTACCAGTAATTCAAATGAAATAGTTTTGTGGTTGTTCTGTAAATATAGAGCTTCCAACTATTTTAAAGAGTTATATTGCTGTGTATAATGTATACATGAATGTTATTACAGTAATTACTGTGCATTGTTAGTTACACTTACAGTTCATTAACTCTGATTAGGAGTTCCTCTTCCACTCAGATGACATACTGTATTTTAATAACTATTGGATGGAATACAGGTACACCTCCACATTTATCGTCAACAAGTGATTGTGACTTCGTAATTTTATCTAAGGTTATTCCACCACATGAACTGTTACAGCAAATACTATGTATTTGTGCCCTGCTAAGTATTAAGAAATGTATTTAATTTAAAATTTAACTTAGTTCACAGTGTTTCCAAGCGTTTTCTGTATCGACGTTTTCGGGAGTGAATTCCACAGACAGCATTATCAGACGCGTTTCGCAACTGACATTGACATTAAAAAATGCCAGATTGTTTTAAAAAGCGATGTATTTATTTTTTAAAATCAGAATTCGCCCTGTGTTTCAAATGTTTCATGTGTTGCATCCGCTCTATCTGCGTATAACTTGCTCTGTATTTTAAAACGCGTGTCTCCTCGCTTTAAAGTCAGTGATAATTGCGACTCGTTTCCGTGCGCGCTGGAGCGCAGTGGGCCGAGGCCCGAGTTGCGGGTTTCTGCTGGTGACCGTGGTCTTCTCCCCCTGTGTCTGGCAGCATGCTGGAGGGCTCCAGCCGCCTGGACGAGGAACACAGGCTCATCGCGCGATACGCCGCTCGGCTCGCCGCGGACGCCGCCTCATCGGTGAGAGACGCAGGACGAGGGCAGGGCGCTTTCGTGAAGACACCTTAGCCGTGGTGTCATGGGCAGGGGAGCCCTGAGCTAAAAGCCAAAGGAGAATCCCTCTGACTGAAAACAAACCCGCAGTCTCTTTTGTCCGCCAGCCACCCTTTGCCTGGAAATCGTTAAACAAAAACGCACGTATTTAATCTTCTGTTGATGGAATCGGGACAATGTGTCGAAAATGGGGAAAAAAAATATAACTGTGTTTTAAAAAGTAATGAAAGAGGATTTAAATAATACATTTTAATACCAAGAAGAAGCTCAAAAAATATTGGATAGGCAATTTAAAGGCTACATGTTGTGATTTGCGTTCTGCAAGCGCTACTTTTAAAAGAAGGATCCTATGATGATTTTGTAATGATAACAGCAAAAACGTGATATTCGTGCGTTATTATTTGTTACTTTTTTTTTTGGTTTCTTTGGTTGGCTCCCTCTACTTTGTGTTTCTTTTCTTTTTCTTTTTGTTCTTTCTTTCCTTTATCTCTCTTTTTTTTGTTTTGTGTGTTAATTTATTTCTTGGTGTGGATTGACTGTCCTTTTTCTTGGTTTGGTTGGTTTGCTTGTGTCTCTTTCTTAATAAATCACTTTTCTTTTAAATTCTTTCTTGTCTTTAGTGTTTCTTTTTTATGTTCCGTTTTGTTTGCTGTCTGTCTGTTGGTTGCGTGTCTTGATAAGAAAGCTGTGATAAATATGACAATGTAGAGATACAGTGTTGGAAGAGATTGCTGTACTGTATGTGCTGCTAAGACTCGAGAGAGTCTGACCACAGCACTGTTGATAATTTAAACCCATTAACTGGTGGTTAGACATCAAGCTGGATAAGTGTATTCGCCTGATATAATTAGGGCCTTTGAAGTAGAAATTGGATCGATAATTCCAGTGCCTGTAATGTGAGAATTTAGATCAGTTTCAAGTCTCTGGTACAGAGGGAGGGACATTCAGTAAATTTACTTTAAGCTGCAGATTTAGAGTTTGAACTATGACATTAGTTTAAGCAGTATAAAAGTAGAGGTCAGTATAAGTCAACTGTAAAGCTCAATTGGCCAAACATTTTTTGTACAACGTTTCGTATTTCAACAGTGGCTTAGCACATTACTAAAAATGACTTGGTTTTAATTCTTTTGACTTGTTATTACCATCTCCCCTGGAGTCTTTTGCGGTGAAACAGAACATTGCGAAAATTGTACTTCTGTCAATTTGTACGGAAACCCGTAAAATGTCTTTTTTCACCCCCTTCAGCAACAAGCTCAACAGCAAAAGGCTGCTTCAGAAATTGCCTTCACTCTTGATGCGAACAAACAGCAGCGGCAGCTCATTGCGGAACTGGAAAACAAGAACAGGTGAGACAGCTTCGTTCATGTGTGCAAGTATGCACGGTGACCCCTCGTTGTACACGTTTTTATTTGGCATTGAGTAATTCCTGCCTGTTTTTTTTTATTTAACCATAAATTAAATTTAGATTGTTCTTTTCACGCATCTTCTCGGATACTTTAATTTCACGTTCATTTTTTTATAACAAATTACCTTTATTATAAAAAAGTCTTGTGTGTGCTAAGTGCATACAGGATAGTAACAATTGTGTATGCATTTGTTAACGACTGCAAGGATGTAACTACTGCACTGTGCCTTAAATGAGTAGGAATGTTTTCCTTACTATTGTTTAAGCATCGTCGTCTCATAATTAACCAGGAATGTTACTGTTTTTATACTTAGGTATTGTTCTGCACTGTATTAAGGTGAAGCTTGGGTGTTTGAGGGGACATTTTGTGAGTTCTTTAACTAATTGGAGATGATAACACGTTATACGAGTTTTCACCTTACGAGCACTTTTTCGAGGAACGAGTTCAGCTCGTATCCTGAAGGATTACTGTACGAGTCTGCTGCTTCTGGAGAGTTTTTCTGTCGCTGGTCTAGGAGACCCTGTGGAACAGACCTGATACGTATTTAGATTTTAGAGGACGCCCTGTTCGGGGAAATCCTGGATGTTCATTTCAAGCGAAGGCGTTCCAGTGACAGGCCGGGCTCTGTGCTTTTCCCTGCCAGGGAGATACTGCAAGAGATCCAGCGGCTGCGTCTGGAACATGAGCAGGCCTCCCAGCCCACGCCAGAGAAGGCCCAGCAGAACCCTACCCTTCTGGCTGAGCTGCGGCTCCTCAGGTACAGGCGCTGGTTAGTAGTTCTTCTGCCACTCCGTAGACAGACGTGCTGTGTTTTAATCGCTTTTTATCAGCCATCCATGTTGTGGCTCTCCAGCACTGCATCACATAGCTCACCGCTATGCACTCTAGCAGGTCCTCCACTCAGGTAGCGCGGTCTGGAGGGGCCCTACATACAGTACATCAAACTCTTTTCTTGAGTATGCGGGAAAGTAGTTAATGGGCTGAGGACAGACCACTCCCGGTGTTTCTAACCTTCCCACCTTAGTCTGGCCCTCAACCTAATTCGTGGCACTTTCCCCCTCTAGATCGTTTGGTAGTTGCATTTTTAACCGAGGGATTCTTTACACAGGACATCAAAGTTCCTAACAACAGAGTAGCACTCTCTCTGAACAAGGTTCAGATACTTAGCTCCAGTCTGGTTTTTTCAGTGACCCGAACAAGGAGATCTCGCCTTCGATACCTTTCTCTTCCTCTTCCTTTACCATCCCTGACCTTGTAGTCTCTTTCCCTCTTTTAAGTCCTGCTCCTGATGGACATCGATCATGTCCCGAGAACCTAATTAATTAATGTTGACACTAGCCAGGTGTTACCCATTATAGATTCACTTCATAGTGTATTTCACATTGTCAGATCTTGGTTTAGGAGATTGGCATTCGTCTTTATATGTGAGAGGTCTCATTTTGGCTTTTTACTTTCTCACTGAAGAAGAGTTCTTAAAAGATTTCTCCTACTATATTGTGTGGTGGGCAAATATTCTAATATTCACCGCCACACCCGTTGAGCAGAGTTCATTCAGTGGATGATGACATGATGATATTATGAAGCTGCATCTTACAGCTGATAATTTCATTGGCATCTGTGGACAGAACAGACTCATGGAGCTTGCAGGCTTCCCCTGTTCCAATTTGCTTAAACTCTGAGACTTCTGTATGTTGAGGCAAGCCCTTGCCAATGGCTGACCAACAGTAACCATGAGTCAGCAGAAGTGTTGGCATACTAACGTTACACTAAGTTTTTCCATTCCTTATTGCATCCTCATTTTGCATTCCAGTACTGTGAAATTCTTTTTTTCCCTTGACCTTATTTACAATAAGTTGTGCCCCTGTCATCTAAGTGAAAAGTGGTCATCAGAGAAAACCTGATGTCTTTAATGGATAAAGTGGATTTACTGGATAGGTTCCCGGGACGCGAGAGTTTCACTTCCGTAGGGCGCGGAACCGACTAGTCGACTTTAAAGTACGTAAAGAAAAGGTGAAGGCAAAATAAAGACTAGATATTCTGCGAGAGTTGAATTGTCTTTTGTGAGTCTCTCATAACCCTTGGTATATAATAGAGGTTAAATGTTAAATAATAATTATTGAGTATATACATTATGGCAGAGAAATGGGACACATTTCAGAGTTAAGGTCCTTAACCCTAACTTGCCATTTAACTGTCACCTGTGTACTTCATGGATATGCAGTTCATGTATTTTTTTGGGGGGGTCTTATCTCCTGAAAACTCCCTTACATGTTACTCCACATTCTCAAAAAAATAATTCCAGATTTTCCAACATGGTACTCCAACCTGCTGACATACAAACGCCAGGAGCCAGTTTTGCCACTTGGATTATGATGATGATGTTGTTTAGCCCATAAAGCTGTTACTGGGAAATTTGATGTCTTATATCATTATGATTAAATGCTGTATGATTTATCACTGGTGCCCCCTATCAAACTCATCATTGCAATCTTTAAACTGTGATTGATTGCCCCTCTCTGCCTAGTAGAAGAATGCTTCACCGGTTAAATTAATTTACACATTTTTAATTGGGAAATTGCCTTCCAGTCTTCATTTATTGCCGATCTCCAAGCCGTCTTCCAGTTTAAGATGTAATAATTCTCTCAGGTTGAACTTGCAGCAGACAATCAACTTTTCTGAGGACGAGTCATTTCAATTTGGGGTCGCCGATGACTGGAATCATCTTTAGATTAAGTTTAATTTAAATTTAAAGTTACCTTTGTACTGTAAGTGCGGGCACTTTCATTTTCAACACACATGGGGGATGCTGGCGTTTCTCTCACACACCGGCGTCGGTCTTTGTCCAACCTGCGTATGTGTCACAATTGTGTATCTGTGCTTGGCTAGTACATTATCATTTGTCGGAAACATTGATTTCAATAAATATTGTATGAAGTGTTCTGCTAGTGTGTGTGTGTGTGTGTGGTGCCACCTGTAAAGAAAAGGAAAGTGATTCTTTGGGAGCAGAAGATTAATGTAATAAAGTAATATGAGAGAAACGAAAGAACATGATAGCATTAGCACAAATGGGCTTAGTAGTGTGTCTGGTTAAGTTTTGTTAAGTTTCTTATGAATAATATGGTCTCACCCTCCTCCACTGCACAATTTCTCATCTCTTGGGGATGTAAACACTGATGCTGTTTTTTTTATTTAATGTTGTCACAAAAACAAGTACTGTATTTGCAGAAGTAAGACATTCTGGCTAATAATATGACCAATTCTATAGAACATATTGCTATGTTATTGCGAATAACCCCTTAATTCCTATTGAACCAATGGTTTGTATAACACTATTTTCTGTAAATCAAGTGTTTTGAAGGAACTTGTCTATTCCATTATAGCAGTAATGGCTGGATCTATAACTCTTTTCCAGTGACCACTGCAAAAGCTGTGTAGAGGATAAATAATAAACCAAGACCTTGGATATAATGGTGTCTTCGAAGAACTCTAAATAACCTTTTATGAAACAAGGGTTAAATACATCACAAGATGGAGGAAAGTATATTGAACTTATTGTTGATAGAAATACCACCCATGTACAGTTTAGAGAGCTCGTCTGTGTCTTCAGGCCTCCTGAAAAAGAAGTGGAGAAATTCTTGCTTTAAGTGGAGCTGCTTGTTAACAGCACTAAAAGCCTTTGTAGAAAAATATGACTTCCATTAACTTCCTTAAAATAATACCTTGAATACCATTCAGAATAAAGCAAGACTTATTGTTTTGTTGCCTTGACAACAGTTATGCTTGTGACTATTGTCTCGTGACTCACTTGTGAGCATGACTTTCATACTGTCTTTGTACACCAGAAAAATAGTTTATGATACACCAGCATACACCATATATATGAGCTTCAGCAGTGAATATTTATTTAGCCTGTTCATTTATTTTTAACATAATTATTTCAATTAAAGTAAAAAGTAAAACAGGCCAGGTTAGGGATTTCGGAAGGTTAGCGTGCTGTCAACATAGGCTTATAACATGATATTATATTGACAAACAACGGCATTCTTGTTTTTTATCAAAGAACCACGATCGGTTTTCTTAATATGGGATTAAAGCACTCCTGTCAATATAGAAATGAACTTACCTGACAGTCTCGGAAATCGCTCTTACTTTAATCCGATTCTCATGTTTGCTGTGGCAGCAATGTGTATCAGTTTTCATTTCTTTTCATGTACAGAAGCACTGGACTCAGTCTTTGATCCTGCACAACTGATGCCCACTCACTCTGTAAGCAATTTCTCAAACTAAAAGCAAGGTTGCTAATAGATATCTATCTGCTTTAGTATTACAAGTGCAGATGCTGTTTTGTTTTTTTCCGTTAGGTTTCATGCTCTTTGCCTGATGCAGGCTAAAATGTTGTCAAGTACCCTAAATGAATTGTCTGGGCCAACTGCTGTTTTATTGGCAGAAAGCTGCACTGTGCATTTTGGAATAGTTATTCAAAAACTGTCTAGTCCTTTGCTGGTCGTCATATCACTTAGAGTTTTGTTAATTACTCTTATTTCATGGAGACCAAGTATTAGAAAAACTACTCCTAATAATAAAGCACAATACAGTAATGAAACTCACTGCATAGCCACTATGGTTGAAGGCTTGAATCAGTTAGCTTTATTTATGGAACCAAACGAAAGCTTCACTTCTTAATCTTTGTCTTTCCGAGCAGTGCGGATCTCATTATGCACTTGATCACTCTGTAAAGTCGCTGTGGAAAAATGAGGAAGGCCCAAAACCTGGTCAAACTTCGGGAACGGACATGAAGTTTAATGTATTCAAAAGGAATTAGGAATGGTCTGGGAAAGGTGCTCACATTCCCCACATCCCTGGGTATTCATGGCAAAGGCAGCATGCTGTGAGAGAAGCCTGTACGTATACCATTAGCTTCCTGTACAGGCTGAGCTCCATGATGCAGATGCCAGCCGGAGTCATGTCGCTGGATGGCTACAATATGGATGTCCCAAGCAGCTCTACCAGTGGCTGGGTTGGGGTTATTTGGCCATTAATCAACCAGTGCTCTCTCAGCTCCCAGGAAAACAATGACCTCCTTTAGACTTGCGCTGCCCTCCCCATTCATTGCTGCAGAGCTCCTTCTCCCAGTGTGGGTATTATAGAGCTGAGGTGTAACGACACAATTGGTGGTTCTGAATTGTGTGTGGATCATAAGATAAGAATAGAGTTGCGCGCAAACGTTTGGGCACCCCTGGGCAAATTGCACATTTCACAGAATCTCTAAGTGGAAAAGAACACAACCTCTTTAGGGTACAAACTTAATAATGGACATATTTCTGCACATGTTAATGCCCATTTGCTGAGTTTAACAGACTGAAAAAAATAGAACAGTAGTATTACATATTTATAGGCTGATTTCTAATATTTGAATGTACCAACTATCTGTCCTCTTCGATTTGATTTATAAATAAAATTAATTCATTCCAAATTAATTGAACTTGATTTTGCTGAACAAGGCACATACTGTAATTACATAGCAAGGTCAAAGGAAATAATTGCTCCATTTGTATGCTTTGATAATTAATGCTGAATCAGGTTTGTAGAGTTAAACAAATGACGATCAATCGAAAAAGGTGTTACGATTCCATCTATTTTGACTGTTATTTGACTGTTATTGGTAGATGTGCTGGATACCAATTCAGTGAACGTCTGCCCTGAACATGACATTGGAAAATGAGGCACAATCTTTCCTTCACTCGGAAATGCACAGGCAGGAAATCTGTAAGCAGGACTCACCCTGAAAAAGTCATCAAAGGCCGACAGTAATAAAAGACGTTTATGCGATGGGAAAGATTACCTTTCTGTTGAGACTGCAGATGAAGAATTTCTCTGAAACATGGAAGCCTTTTATAGACAAGGTAGAGGGACCGGGGCCAAAATTATTGTAATTAAGTCTTGATAAAAAATTGTAGAAATCATCCAAATGAAACTGTACTCCCCCCAAGTTAACAGAAATATGAAAGTAATTGTGTGAAAATAACACTCCTGTAGTTCACAGCAGTGTCACTAAGCTCACCATCGTACGTGCATAGCCATGTTTTGTGTGTTTCAATCATTTGTTTTGTTTGTAATATAATTGAAAGGTGATAAACGATATTTTTGTATCTCTAGTAAAAACGGACACATACAAGAATCTGATGTGAGTCTATGCATGCAGGAATGTTTGAGAAACCTCTTGGGTGACTTTTTGTTTTCGAGGGTGTTAGCTTGTGCATGGAAAGATGGGAAAACGCTCAAAATGAAGTTGCAAAAAAAAAAACGTCATTATAGACCTGTCTGCAAAGTCATCGGGGTAGAGGCAGGTGGAGAGATGGGGCCGGCCCCTAAAAGCGATTGGCAGCCCGGTTCGTGTTACGGGACTCCGTGGTGAGTTTATGGGCTGCCGGCACTCGGTAACCGGTTTCCTCTCCTCGCAGGCAGCGCAAGGACGAGCTGGAGCAGAGGATGTCCGCCCTGCAGGAGAGCCGCCGGGAGCTCATGGTGCAGCTTGAGGGGCTGATGAAGCTGCTGAAGGTGCGAAGCCGTTCTTCACAGCCGCTACGCGATTAGAATCCTGAGGAAAGAGGCGCAAAGCCCTCTTAACAAAGGGCCCAATCCAGCCACTTCTATTATATTCTGCTAATGCCTGCACAGCTCTCTGTTTATTCTGCCAAAGACACTGTAGGTGAGAACCATTCTTGACACCTACAGGTACACCCCTTCCTTAGCATTCTGGTGAAGTTGCCACTTTGCTCAACTGCTCAACATTAAGCCCTTGTACTTGTTTAACCCATTAAGGGGTGGGAGCTAAGCTGTTGAGCTGCTGAAGATACTGTAGACGGCTCTGCTGCTGAACTCCTTCACAGACTAGATGAACAGAAAATGAAAGAATTTTGCATTTTCATCTGATAAGAGTCAAGAAATTAATTCGGCCCGCTTTGGCAGTCTTCCGCTTTCAGTTCATCATCTAGGCATCCAGTGCCTTGCAAAACTATTCAGATCCTTCCTTTGGTGCCACATTTTTCATGCACATTTTTTAAACTTTCTATTTTAACCTGAATGCTCAGACACCTAAGGGTAAGATAAGTTACAGTAAATGTCAACAAAACGGAAGAAAACAAAATTAGCTATGTTGTTTGCAGAAGTATTCAGATCCGTTAACTCAATATTTAGTGGAAGCATATTTAGTTGCAATTGCAGCTCACTGTCTTTTTGGATAAGTCTCTCCCAACACTTGGAGCATTTGTTTGCGCAAAGATGATTGGAGATCCCTTATGCACAGCAGTTTTCCAAACGTTTCCATAGATCCTAACTAGGATTTAACTCAGGACTTTGACTGGGCCATTCAAGGACATTCACTTTCTTATTTTGAAGCAAATAGTGTGGAGCTTTGGGGTTTTCTCCTGAAAGGTGACTTTTTGTCCCAGTTTTCGGTCTTTAGCAGACTGAAGCAGGATTTCCTCTAGGATTTGCCGGTACTTTGCTCCATCCGTTTTGCCCTCAGACTTGGCAAGCTTTTCAGATCCTGCTGATGGGAAGCAGCCAGATAACATGAAGCTGCCACCAGCATGCTTGACAGTAGAGATGGTGGTGAGCAGGAGATGTGCTGTTACAGTTTGCATTTAAACCAAAAAGGTTTTTGTTCGGTCTCATCTGCCAAAGAAAAAATGTTTTATCACGTTTGCAGAATCACTTAAATGTTTAACCGGATGCAGGGTGGTTTTTTTTTTCAAGATTTGCCACTGGCCAGCTTTGACTTGTATACGATTTCTTCCGCCTCAGTCATTGAACTGAGGGATAGCTTTTTCAAAGTCGTGGAAGCATCACGCTGGCAGTCCTTACTAGTTTACTCCTTGCCTGGCTGCTCATTATGGAGGGATGTCTGACCCAGGCAAGATACACCTTCTACACCCTGCTCAGAGGGGTGTTCAGTACCTTTCAAATGTTTTTATACACTTCTCTGGATCTGTGCCTTTCTACAGCTTGGTCCCTGAGATGGTCTGAAAGTTCTTAGATTTTATAGTTGAATCTTTGCTTGAAACAACTGCCTGATTGAAGAACCTTAAAAAGACATTTGAAAACAACAATTGTTGTATACAGGCAGAAGGCACACAGTTCACCGTGTGTCCTGTAAAAAAAAAAATCTGTGCATCTAAATTAATTTATGTTTGCCACAGAACAGGGTTGGAATTTATATCCAGTCAAGACTTGTCCATTTTTCTTTCATATTATGTTTAATGTCTTTCTTTTTGCTTTTAGCTTTGAACGTGCGTTGTTGGTTGTGTATATAACAACTGTTAATTGCTTCTTTAATGTGTCGAAACAGCAAGCTTTAAAACAACAGAAAGTTAGAACTGTGCAAGGGTCTGAATACTTTTGCCAGGCTCTGTAATTTCTACATGTATAGTCTGACATATTATTACTGAATGTCAGAATCTCATTCGTTTATCTGCTGTAATTGATTTTGTTAAAACTGCTGATTGAAAGCACTCAAATTAACTAAAGTAAATTTTAAATCTGCTGTTGTCTAGGAACACAGAAAAGGTTCCTCCACTATATTCTCAGATTTGGAAGTTTCCATGACTACTCACTTTGTAAAAATCAATAGCTACAAACATGAGCAGCATACTGTTTTTATAGCCGGTTTGGATAAAGGATTGATAGAGACTCTTCTAACATAATCGTCTGTGTTTTTTGTTTTTTGTTTTTTAAGGATAATTATGTGTTACTGGATTTCTTCATATTATGAGACTGTTTAATTTTGGGTAATATCCAGTTTTCGTTTCTGAAGGGAAATGGAACAGAAAGATAATGTAAGATGAAGTAAGGTATTCTGTCAGGGGTATTGCAGTGAAACCTGTACTTGTTAGCCAGAAGAGCCTGACTGTGCAGGATCTTTACCAGTATATCCTCCACAACAGGAACGAGATTTACATGCCCAGCAGTGGGATTGATTCTCAAATATAGAATTCAAACATTATATTATGTTAATTTTTAGGCGCCCTTTGTATCTCTACTAATTAGTTTAGTCTTTTTGGACGGGTAGGGTGGGACCGAGCTCGAAGTACACATTTCTTTGTTTCAGGTGTACAGTATGTGAGTTTATGAGCTGTTCTAAAAATAACCCATTCTCTTTGGAGCTGAACAGGATTGAAATTATCGGGGGTATACATATCTATTTCCTGTTAATGATCTACTTTAATTGGGTCTTTGTGAGATAGGAAAACAAAACCTTAATGCATGATATTAGATACAGAAAGAATTGCTAAGCATGTTCCCTTATTATAAGTTTACATTTGTTTTTCTGATAAACCTTTTTTCAACAGGAGGAAGAGATGAAGCAAACTGTAAGTCTGCAAAGTAGTCTAACATTGCACTAAAACAGTGGGATTGCTGGTTCAAGGAAGTTATTTCCTTTGTATTTTTATTCCTGTCATACAAGGCCTTGGACTTGAGATTTCATGGGTTTTTTTTTTGTCAAGAGGATTGAAATAATTCTGCAATAATCCATTGAAATGGCTTGGAAAAAAAGCAGAATGCTAAAACCCAAAATAATAACATTCACTTGCAAAACAGTTTGTAATACCACCCATGCAAGCTAACACCAACTGAATTAACCACACAACCACGCATCCCTGTGGCCTAGTGATTCTCTCTAGATGTTACGTAGTGACAGAGCCGAGCAGTATCACGTTTTAGCCAACAGATAACTGCCTTTTTAGTATTGCCTGTTTGGTTTTCTATTTTATCTGTTCTGTGCTTTTTAATTCATCGAAAAGAGTGAAACTTCCGGCAAGCCAAACTTGAGAGGAAGATCCTGCTGGCTTGTGAAAACACCAGTCAGTGTTCATACAGTCCCATTCTCCCCATTGTTAGGTTTGTGATGGCAAAATGCTACAAAAGAGAGATGTCAAATGTTCTAGGTGCCAGAGCAACAATTCTTTTTTTTTTTGGTCACAGCTGGATTTGGTCATAGCTCTTCAAGTTCAATAAGAGCCTTCTCCTGTTTTTATGCGCTGTACAGAAAGCAAACTGTGGAAGTATCCTCATTTTATTTTGTTCGTTTTCAGAATTAAAGACTCGTTAAGCCTTTAATAGCTATCCTTGTATTTGCTAGCAGGAGAAGGGCTGTTTTGAGTCGTTTTATGGACTTCAGATAACAAACTTCCCTGTCAATATATATTTGGTCTGTATAAAGACCCAGTTCTCCAGAAAGTTTCTGAAAGAACATGGTATTGTATGCGAAGGCTATTTCTGGCTCTAGACGTATTTCTGCTGTTTTCACACATTGCAACTAAATGGAATACAGAAATAGAAAAACAAGCCGCAGGGTGTTCCGTATTTCATTTGTAAAGTAGTTTGTAATTTGCAGCAGGATAAAAATCTAATAAGGAGGCCTGAGAATGAACTGTTTAAAATTCACAGTGCCTCTTATGAACTCACTTCATCAACTCTGCTCCGTTGCCTTTTTCTATCATTGTGATTTATTCATGTGTGGTACCGTGTATGTGGTATTTACTGCAGCATACTGTGCACGGTAAAACTGTTTCTAAGTCTAAGTTCTAGGTTTAGCATAAGTTATAAAATATAGAATCGTATCAGAAATAACACATTTAGGTTCTGTGACTACATATTAAGTATTATTGAATATTAATGAATATTTCACTTTTATGCTTATTTAATATGATAATATGAATAAAATTGAATCAATTTAATACGTATTATGAAGCAAAAGCGTATTTCAGTGGAATTGCATAGATTATGGCAGTATGCTCAAACAAGCTGTGCATTTGTAATAATCCTTTCTAGAATGTTCACTAATGTGATCTTTGACCCCCAAGTAAATATCACTTTTATTTTTATCTTGTTTTTTTCTTTATTTTTGTCTGGCGTATACTTCTCACTCCGTAATTTCCTCGCTGTAATTTTAATTGCCATGTCACATTTAGAGTGCAATTAACGGTCTCGTGAATTTTGCATTTTTTTTTCCGTCTTCTGGCTTTGCCTGGCGCTGATCCTGTCCGAGTTTGTGCTGCCTTGAGATGAAATGCGAAGGGTGGGCCTTGTGACTAACTGCATGGTCTCTTCACGGGTTTCGATAATTTTGTGAAGTGCTTCTAAACCGGCCCACACCGTGCAGTGGCCTGTCTGCAGTGGGTAGCAATGACTGCACTCCAGTCCGGAAGGACTCTGGCCTGAATGGGATCTTCTCGTCCTAATTGTACTTGAGGCATCCGTCTTCATCAGACGTTGCTCTTGTGTCGTTCGGTGGTCTGATCTAAAGGAGATGTAGTTTTAAACCAGACAGATGTATGATACAAAGGCCCCCGAAATGGAGCCGTTTGCCTTTGCCTCTGCCCGGGGCAGGCAGAGGGATGCTCTCTTGTGTTGTTGGAAAGGCCGACGGGGGCCGGGCGTGGTCCCGGCTCGGCGGTGGGGCCGCCCCGACGCTAACGGCCGCCGGCTCTCTCCTTCCAGACCCAGGGCGCCGGCTCGCCGCGCTCCTCGCCCAGCCACACCGTCAGCAGGCCCATCCCCATGCCGGTGCGCTCCTCCTCGGCCTGCTCCACGCCGACCCACACGCCTCAGGACTCCCTCACCGGCGTGGGAGGGGACGTGCAGGAGGCCTTTGCTCAGGGTAGGATGCCGTCCCGTCCGGGGCTCCTTGTCCCGGCCTCCGCGTCGCGCGACAGGACGCAGCGGTCTGTGCGCGCCCGGCAGCGCGATGTGAAAGGACACGTGTTTAACTCTATTGTTATGTAGTCTCATTCTCTCCTGCTTTCTGCTCGGTTCTCCCCTGCTCCTCTCCCCTTCTCTCCCAATCCGTCTTGTGTTCTCCTGCGCCTGATTTATCTGCTGCTTTCCCTCTCTCTCTCACACCTGAAGAGGGCTCCACGGGCCGAAACGTTGTGTTTCTTTTCTTACTCTTCAGTGAGGAACGAACCTTCACCTGTCGTTGACCGTGTCAGTGTTTCAGAGTCAGAGGCGGAGCCCTGGGCATTTGAGACCATTGATGTTACTGCATGAGTTGACCTGGGTGTTTTTTAAGAGTGAGGGTGGTGTTAGAGGTGATGATCCAGCACTGTCGCTGGCTCACTCTGCCGCTGCTCAGACCCTTCTCCCAGTCAGTAGCAGAAGACATTCTTGATGCGGAAATGCAGAAGAGTGCGTTTCATTTCACCAAAGCTTCTCCTATTTACTGGCTTATCAGGTCCTGGTTTACATCACGGGTGAGAAAGTATATTGCTTAAAGTCTAGTTCCGTATCTTTAAATTCTGTAGTCACCTATTACTTTTTAAAGACATGTACTACATCTCTATTTACTGTATATGTCATATGCATGTATTTTATCTCCATGCACATGATGGTTTAAAATGAAATTGGTTTCCAGGTGTGGCTGTAACACAGAACTTCAAAAAACCATAGTTATCAAGAGGCTACGTGGACCAGATTATTTTTTTTTCAGACTTGGATAAAACCCGCATTTAAGATTGAATGAAAGTAGATCAATTTATAAATGATTTCATGCCTTACGGTCACTTCCTTGAGATGTGTTCAGAAAGCAGTACTGGGCAAGTGAGATCTTTCATGTGTTTTTGAACAAACTATAGATCAGTGCAGCCCACATTCTCCAGAAGTGGCCTTTTACCAAAGGGGAAAAAAAAGGCTTTCAGGCCAAGCCAGTAACATTCATCAGAGCACCTATTCGAGCTGTTTCCTCAGAAAGCCCAAGATAAATGAACTTGTGTCGCCTACAGTAATCAGGCTGTCCCGAAAGCTGTAGGAGCTTTGTCACCTGCAGAACGATGCCTGTCACACTCAAACCTTACTGGAGCAGCAGTATGGATCCAGACTGGGTGGGAGATTCTTTTTTTTTTTTTTAAATCAGATCATCATTGTCACAGAAACCCCCCCCCACAGGTGGAGAACAGTCCCACCTCAGCAGTGGGCTCTGGGGCACGAGCCTGGGTGGTAGGCAGCCTGAGCTTTGTGCGCGGCCTCCAAGAGCCTGCTGTTCGCAGAAACCCTAATTAGCTGGTTTGCTCAGTGACACCAGGGACAGCTCGTGAAGCTGCCATCTGCTCAGGCAGAGGTACAGCAATAAACAACCCAGAGCAATGGGACGTGGAGTCCTGTGCCCCAGTGTGATGAGAAGGCAGAAGGAGAAGAGCTCTGGAGCACTGACAACATTACAGGAAATGGGAACAGATTAACTGATGACTCCAGAATACAGAGAACAGGTTTTATTTTTAAAAAGCAAGAACAAAGGACATTTAGAGAACTGAGTAAGGGCAACGAAAATGTTATAGTCACAGATACAATATATACTAAGACCAGGCTTAATACAGTATATGTTATGCTGCATTCAGTGCTCCATCAATGGTACAGACAATGGTGGATGTTATTTCTTAAGCTCTTCAGTATTCTTTGGGACAAAACCGCTATTAAAATGGCTGTAATTATGTGCCGCTGCTCTCTGTGAGGATCCTGCTTTTATTCTTGAGCTCTCTTTGAGTCGATGGCTTCAATTTATTGTTTAAGCTATTCCAATAAATATGTCGGCAAATTAAATCAATAATAATCACGGCCAATGAAAATTATGGAATGCAAATGAGTTTTTAGCTGACCTTCAGCCATGAAGCGTTTTGTGTTTTTTTTGAATCCCACCCTTTTATTCCTTGGTAATGAAAATTCTCACCAAATTACAATTACTATTAATAGTACATGAATATGTGCTTGTGCATTTTATTTATTTGAGGACAAGGTCTCTGCAGATGAAATGATGTCATGCTGTGTGGAGACACAAGCCTTTGTCTGCAGTGCCCCCTTGTGTGTGACAGTGGGGCCTGCATGTCTTATGTCGGTGCTCTCTTCTGTCTGTCAATGCAGTCCTGTCCTGTGGAAGGGAGAGACAATATTTTGAAAAAGGCAAAAGTCAATACTAGCAGTGCTTGCCGTGGAGAACAATTATTGTTATTGTCGTATTAAACTTTGGCAAACGGCTGGAGATCCGCAGCTCCAAATGTAATTGATTCCTTGCAGAGACAAATGCCTGCTGAAAGCATTATTGTACCTGGTGGGCAGCTGAAGGCGTTTTAAAACACGGTTTTGTGAGTTCATAGGCAGGCATCTCGTGTCAGACACCTCAGAAATGTAGTGGAGCAGTAGAAAAAAATCCAGGTTTATCAGTCTAGTTGATTTGATCCTTTAGCCTGAATCTTAGCTCCAGTCTTGAGCTTCAGACAGAAAACCTAACAGTTTTCACATACAGTCTAAAACACATTGATTTAGAAGATTGCTCTTTTCTAAAGATCAATAAACTTATCCCCCCAGTAAATTTATTTCTTGGGCTGTCTAGAATAAGCGGGCTTTGGTAGTTTGTCCTTATATGCAGTATACGTGCCAAGTATGAATGTTCGCTTTAATTTTGTGAACGACGAACATAAGAATAATTAAGCTTAGAATCAGTTGAAAGGCTGGAACCTTTGGGTTTCGTTTAATCGTATAAGGGTGTAGAACCACATTTCAAGGTGTGTGTCAAAATTGTAGTGACAGAATATAAGCAAATATTGGTGTGAAATCTTCTGACTGAACTCCGTATAAAACATAGTACGCATGGAGCTGAAGGCCAGGCCTGCATTTATCTGGAAAGGGCAGTTGCGCCCTCGGCGGCTTATACGATCATTTACATTCAAATTCTGAAAGCTCGCTTATGGCCCCGGTGTTGCCAGGCAACCAGAAACTGGGAGAAATCACTGTGACAGGGTCCTAGGCAGAACAAAGCCTTCGTGGCTCCGAGCTCGTTCTCACCACGGCCCCCGTTTCCCCACAGGCTCCAGGAGGAACTTGAGAAACGACCTGCTGGTGGCAGCCGACTCCATCACCAACACCATGTCGTCTCTTGTCAAGGAGCTGCACTCGGGTAGGAGCCGCGCTGGAACCAGGCCCGATGCGGTTCTGCTGGGTCTCTTGTATGAGCAGTTTAGTTTCGTGTGAAACTAATCATAATAATAATAATTCCTTAAACTTGTATAGTGTTTTTCGGGACACTCCACTCCAAGCGCTTTACAGGTAATGGGGACTCCCCTCCACCACCACCAATGTGCAGCCCCACCTGGATGATGCGACGGCAGCCATAGTGCACCAGTGCACTCACCACACACCAGCTCTCAGTGGGGAGGAGAACAGAGCGATGAAGCCAGTTCATAGATGGGGATTATTAGGAGGCCATGATTGGTAAAGGCCAGGGGGAAATTTGGCCAGGATGCTGGGGTTACACCCCTATTCTTTTCAAGAAACACCCTGGAATTTTTTATGACCTCAGAGAGTCAGGACCTTGGTTTTACATCTCATCCGAAGGACAGCGCCTATTTAGCGCCCCCCTAGTGGTCCCACTAACACCTCTTCCAGCAGCAACCTTTCCAGTACCATCCAGGTACTGGCCAAGAACACACCTGCTGAGCTTTAGTGGGCTGCCAGTTCTGAGTTACAGGGCATTATGGCTGCTGCCTTTGTGGCACATAAGCACTTGTTTGTCCTGACTTGATGATACAGATGTCAAAACTCAAGGTTGCAGCTTTGCAGTCGGTTTTCCCTTTTGAAGTCACAAGGGGCTTCCTCAGAGCTGCCCTGCAGGCTATTGAGTAATTACTCACACTCACAGTCAGGATGGGAACTACAATTCCTGGACATTCGCTGGTCTACAGAGATCTGCATGGAGTACTGGGACACAGAAGGACACGATGGAAGACCTAATACTCCACATTTAGTATTTTTTTAGAATGGTATAATCTTAGCATGCCCAGAGGGGTTGGGCAGCCAGTTGAACTTGGACCCCTAAAGGTTTTTTTTCTCCTTACAGAGGAGTTTTTGGTCCCTCTCCTCTGTTGTCTTCTGGGCCTTTTCTTTTTCTCTTTCTGTGTTGTAATGTCATGTATTCTTACACCGCTTTGTTAAGTGCCTTGGGGCAACCTTGTTGTGAAAGGCGCTATATAAAAATCAACTGAATTGAATTGGTGTTGCTCCAGCAGAAACGCTTCAAGTAAAGTGGCAGTGTTGTGAAACAAGTCAGTTATCGCTCGGCTATGTAATGAGGAGCTTAAACGCGGATGCTCCGCAGAAGGGGACACCTTCATCCTGCTTTGTCTTCTGGTCACTCCTCCTGTCCTCTCCTGACAGAGAGCGTGCATCCTGTGCTGGCTGTCACCAGTGCACAAAGCGTCATAATCTACAGTGCCTGTAGAAAGTCTGCTCACCCTTTCCTACACGCACATTTTGTGGCCCAACAGCCTGAAATCGAAAGACATTATATCGGAATTTATTTTACTTTTATTTACAGGTTATAACGCACAGCCTCCAAGAGAACAACGGCTGCTCAGCCATTCTGAATAGTAATTACGGACAAAAACGTAGAGAAACAGGTGTACACACCCCTGAGGAATAGCACTAGTAAATTAGCTCTGGTCTAACCACTTACCTGCCAAATCCAACAACAAGCTAATTAGCCACCACCTGCGCTCAGTGGTTCACAATGTGTTACTTTCGAAAGGGGTTGGAGACTTTCTGTAGGCACCATTGTGGTTTTTAATGAGGAATATTGATGCCGTCAGAAAATGCGTTCTGAAAGTTTATGGAAAATGCTAGGCTTTAGCTTTAGTTTAACCCGCTTGGCCGAGGGACAAGAATGTTAGGGGCCGACTGAAACCAACCAAGGGGTATTGAGGTGGGGGTGGGGCTGTGACTTTTTTAGAGGAATAGGAGTTGGAAGAAATGGACCCCATGCACTGAAGTTAAGAGATTGACAAGTGGTAAAGAGGTACTTTAAGTACTTTATTGTACAAACTTGTTTATCCACAATCACAATCACAATTCCTGAATATTAGAACGGAGGTGCACTTTAAACAGTTCAGTACTGTTGCTCGTGTTTTCAAACAGGCACATTTGTAGAATCTAATTTGCCTGACTGGAAGCAGAAGAAATTCAGCTTCGGTCAGTAGAACAAAACCAGATCTGGGAAGTCATGAAAGGGCCTACTGGCTTTTAATTTCATCGATGCAACTGTAAAATCTTTAAAAAAAGATTCCCAGAGGAATAGAAATCTTTTATAGTCTTTTACAAAAAGCAAATCTGCATCTGCACCATTGTCTGATTTAAAGAGCATATTTTTTTCTGTTCATAAAAAAGTGATTTTGTCAGGTGATATCTGACCAAATAGGTAGTTTATACAAGTAAATTAATAACTCAGTGTTTGAGTAAACTGAAGGATTTTTCACCTGCGTTGTACAACATCAAGTCTTCTGAACAGTTATTGTGCTTGAAGACAGCAAACCTTTAATATTTAACATTTAGGCAGTGCGGTGGCTCTGTGGCTGGAAGGTTGCCGGTTTGTATCCCACAGCCGGCAGAGGAATCCTACTCCGTTGGGCCCCTGAGCAAGGCCCCTAACCCCAACTGCTCCAGGGGTGGCTGACCCTGCGCTCTGACCCCAAGCTTCTCTCCCTGTCTGTGTGTCTCATGGAGAGCAAGCTGGGGTCTGCGAAAAGAAATTCCTAATACAAGAAATTGTACATGGGCAATAAAGTGATCTTAATCTTAGTTTGCTATTAATAGCTGTGGAAAATGAAATTGAATAGCAGTAGCCACTGTGTAACTTCATTTTATTTCTGCTTTTTGATTTTGTGTGGAAAACATCCTCAACAGACTTGGTCAAATATCCGTGTCAAGTGTTGAGCTCGAAGATCACACAAGTGGTTAAAAATAACACTTTAATTAGCTCCCAGGATATTAATGTAGTAGAACGCCTCACTCAGAGCACAAGGGGAGCACTCCAGCCTGCTAACGGCAAGGAGGAATGGAGGCTGCAGCACTGGCGGGTTGTGACTCTGAGACCCAGGTGACCTGGCGCTGATGGGACTGGGCGCGGCTCGGTGGCTGGGGGAGTACTTGTCTCGTTTCAGTGGGCAAAGAGCCAGCTGGGTAGCATAAACAGATTCCCACCTGCTTTAGGGAAGCATCTCCAGCTTAACTGTCTCAGTTCTTGCGGGTGCTGCCTGCGTGGAGCTTGTGTGTTCTTCCCGTGTTCGTGTGGGTGTCCTCCCACAGTCCGCAGACATGCTGCCTGGTGAGCTGGCTTCTGGGGAAACTGGAGTCCCGTCCAGAGGGTACCCTGCCTTGCGCCCGCTGCTTGCCGAGATAGGCTCCAGCTCCCCAGTGGCGCTGTACTGGATAAAGCAGTTAGAAAATGAATAGCTGGATATTTGCTGGAGGAAGGAGATCAACTGACAAACCACTGGAGCTCAGCAGGTGGGAGTCTGGTCTGTACCTGGACGGGAGACCTCCCTGGAAAAGCTAAGGTTGCTGCTGGAAGAGGTGTTAATGGGGCCAGCAGGGGACGCTCACCTTGTGGCCTGTGTGGGTCCTAATGCCCCAGTCTAGCGATGGGGATACTAGGATACTATATTGTAGAAAGGCGGCGTCCTTCGGATGAGACGTAAAACCGAGGTCCTGACTCTCTGTGGTCATTAAAAATCCCTGGGCGTTTCTCGAAAAGAGTAGGGGTGTAACCCCAGTGTCCTGGCCACATTTCCCCCTGGCCTTTACCAATCATGGCCTCCTAATAATCCCCATCTATAAATTGGCTTCATCGCTCTGTTTTCCTCCCCACTGATAGCTGATGTGTGGTGAGTGTGCTGGTGCACTATGGCTGCCGTCGCATCATCCAGGTGGGGCTGCACACTGTTGGTGGTGGAGAGGATCCCCATTACCTGTAAAGTGCTTTGAGTGGAGTGTCCAGAAAAGTGCTATACAATTGTAAGGAATTATTCATTCTGTCTCGAGGCATACTGCATCGGTCAGTCAGCTGGTGGATAAAGGCTGGGGGAATGCGAATGACCTCTGTGTTTTTTGTGTTTGCATGAGTGCGACACCATTCATCCGTGGAAGGAAAGATAAATGTGAAAAACGTAGGATCGGTTCTCTGCCGTTTCATGCTTGTTTGCCTCTTTCAGCGACTGTTTTGCTTTCTGCTCGTAAAATCCGTCCAGTTTCGGGATGAGGGGAAAAGGCTGGGAGCCTGCTGAGCTTGTCTGTTCCTCAGAGGCCGGAAGCGAGACGGAGAGCAACGTGGACTCCGAATTCGGGCGCACGCCCCTGGATGATCTGGTGCCCTCGCCCACCTCGGAGAAGGCCTTCCTTGCACAGATTCACGCCAGAAAACCAGGGTACCACCCCAGCACCACGGCAGCGAGCACCATCCGCAGCGACATGTAAATAAGCCTCTTCCTGTCCCGAGTTGCGCCGGGGGTCTGGAGAATCCAGTGTGCGCAGAAAATCAAGCAGGCGACAGAAATAATCCAATAAGAAATAATAGAGATCACGTAGCGTGTAAAAGGAGTGGGAGAATGAAGTTCCGCATTAGAACAAGTACAGGTTTATTCCATGCTGAAAAGAGAAGAAAAAAAGCAACGTTTCAGCTGTGGGGCCTACTTCAGGTGTGGGTGTTGACACCAAAAGAAGGCTCCACAGACAAAACGTGGGGTTTCTTTTCTTCTTTTTTCAGCATGGAATAAACCTGTACTTGTTCCTTGTCAGCATGCTGACACCGTTGCTAACTACTTGGAAGTTCAGCATGATTGTTTACCAAAAACATCTCATCCGTTCTCTATTATCAAGTATTAAATATGTAGTAATAGTATGTTATTATTATTAAACTTGATTTTTATACGGTATCTTTAAAAGTGGCTTTTCAAAGGACTTTACAGAACAACGGCAAAACAACAGAAGTCACACATTCGGCAACTACTACCGTGAATTTAGAGCGATTTTAGCTGCCGCCGCTTCGGGACCGAAACGGGCCTCTCGCAGATAAATGCTTCCCGGTGTCCGACAGTGGCGCCGAAGACGGAGACTCCTTCGTGCGGACGGAGGACGAGAGCTACGAGAACGACTCAGTGCGCCAGCTGGAGAACGAGCTGAAGATGGAGGAGTACCTGAAACAGAGCCGGCAGGAGAAAGCCTACATGGTGAGATCGGAGTGGGCGCGTGGGGGGGGCCGAGTGCTGGGCGCAGCAGCTGGCCAGAAAAGGCCGCCAACTACGAGCTGCGGAGAAAGAGAAAGGAGACATTTTCTTAGGATATCGTCAAGTCATGAAACCACCAGCAGGAGAGACTTTAACCCTAGCCCAGCACTTGAATATAGCAGTGGGTTCTTGAACAGAGACAGTTACATCGCACGTGGCTCTTAAGGAATTAACAGGAGCCCAGAAAGTGCAGTAAAACGTATGGTCACAAATGTAATCAACCTGCGGATCTGTACTGCAGATCCAAAGACAGTGCAGTTCTCCAGGAATTCACGAGGACTCCACAAGGCTGTGGAGTGAGTATGGCAAAGATCTGAACAGCGACACTTGCACGTATTGTTCCGATCAGGCCTTTGTTGCATCTGATTAAGATACAGGCCAGCGCAGCCGTAGTTACACCCTCATTAGAGATCTGTGCTCCTCCACAGCTGTCAACACATCCATTCAGCCGGGCAGAGGATCGATGAAGGCCTTGCATGTTTAATTCTGTTTGCAGTCAGAAATCAGCTCTCCCCTGTCCCAGCCCTTTTTCTTCTTTCTCAATGGTCCTTCGTTTCAGTTTGTATCAGAGGTTGTCTGAAATACGGAATACTCGGTATTCAGGTGTTGCATGAGTTTTTCAATATTATCGTAATAAGAAAAAAACTGGAAAGAAATAGCTTATACGGTACAAATGTGTCTTTGGAGTGTTTTGTTTGCTGTGTTATCTTTATTACACAACCGATGGACTGCACACGTTTTTCATAAGCTTCCGAGAAACACTTCACCATCATGTCTTTGACCCGACAAGTAGAGAAGCTTTGGTAATAATGTAGTAATCACAGATGGGGGTATGACAGTACTTTTAAGCAGTTAACCCACTGCGTAATTGCAGTTGAAAAAAACGCTGTGTGCAGAAAGCTGCCTCTAAGCTTGTGTTTTGCATTTCTGTTTGCTCATATTTAACTTTTAACCTAAGCTTGCCTTTCTACTATAAGATTACACTGCTTTCTTTAACTTTTTTGTGCTTGTTTCTTAAAATTTCTAAACTTTTTTTTCTATTCTGTATGTTCTTTTCTTGTCCGTGGTACACTCTGATGCTTCTAGGTCACTTTGCAGGAATGATCACGTTTTTTCTCTTTTCAAGTAAGTACCTTTCTGGTCTACCAGCCTTGTGTGTCCTGTCTCACCCCTGCTTTGCCTGGTGTCTGACTTGACATTTTCACTGTGGTTCCATTGCAGAGACTTTCTTGGTATATTCATCTTCAGGGTTGCAAGGTTCTCTTGATGCGGAACTTTGAAAATCTTCATTATTCTATATTAAAAAAATAGAATCGCATTCTGTAGATATTTCTGTTTTGTCTTTGTTTTATCAGACTTTAAAACATCCATGAAATTAGCCCCCAAAATGTACAGGTGTGCCTGAACTCCAGACATATCTCCTGTGGCATGAGAGAAGATGGGACTTGGATTCAATAGCTATGAAATGGGATTCACAATGACCGTCTGGAGAACATAAACCACTTCCCCTGTCTTGGGGGAGATAATTCACAGAAGGCTGATATTAATGAAGAAATCCAGCATCACCTGAAGTCACATGTGCAGCCTTTGGCCATTTGAGGAAGCAGGCGTTTGAAGGTTATGACATCGAAACTGGAACCAAACCAGTGGTCTGCCTTTTCTACAGTAAAGGCTGAAATAGAGACATACTGCAAATGCTCAAAAGCTCCAGTAAAATACTGTGCTGTATAAATGGGCACAAATGTTGATTGGATAAAAGTGATAGCCAGAAAGAATTCTAATAATAACACTTCTTAATAATCATCCAGTGGGAGGACTGATGCTGCACCAGCAGTGATCACTCCCAGGTGGGCACCACAAGCATTGAACCCGTGTTCATCCACCATCAGTTCCATTGGGTTGGTCGAAGAGGGTTCTCTTCTCCCAGCTTGGCCAAGACAGTCGCACCAGAGGAGGCCAGAAGAAGTGTCTTAAAGATAGGATTGAAGCTCATCGTCAGTATCAGCTCCTGGGAGATCGCGGCACCTCGCTGACCCGGATGGAGTAAAAAGATCAGGGAAGCAGCCCAGCACTTTGAGACTCAAAGGTGACAGAAAGAGGAAGAAGAACTACTGAGAGCGTTAAAAGAGGTTGTCATGGCCGAATTCCAGATATCTCTCCTGCCAACACCAGCTCGCCCTGTTGGTGAGGGTGTGGGTCCTGAATTAGGCTCTGGATTCATGTCAGCAATGTTTCAGCTGTGGGGCCTTCTTCAGGTGTGGGTGTTGACACCAAAAGAAGGCTCCACAGACAAAACGTTGGGTTTCTTTTCTTCTTTTTTCAGCATGGAATAAACCTGTACTTGTTCCTTTGCAGCCTACGCATGCTGACGCCGTTGCTAACTACTTGGAAGTTCAACATGATTGTTTACCAAAAACATCTCATCCATTTTCCTAAAAACCAAAAATCCCACCTGTAGTCTCAGATTTCAGGTCTGATGATGTCCTTAGTCCTCAGACTGGAATAATCCACTCTGTGGTTACCAAAACGTACTCTTAGATATCAACGCCTATCCCGTACGGAAAGTATCAAGTATCAAGTATTACATATGTAGTAATAGTATGTTATTATTAAACTTGATTTTTATACAGTATCTTTAAAAGTGGCTTTTCAAAGGACTTTACAGAACAACAACAAAACAACAGAAGTCACACATTTGGCAACTACTACCGTGAATTTAGAGCGATTTAAGCCAAGCGGTTATCCTCGCGCACAAGGGACAGCCGACGGGAAAGCATGGAGAGAGGGATTTCTAGTCCAGGTCTGACACGCAAAATTCTTGACTTTGCTTTTCGCTGGGTTGCCACAACTAATACAGTCGTAAGTTGTCTTTTGGAGGAAACCAAAAAGCGGGCCGATTTTTTCTTTTTGCCCCCACAAACACCTTTCCTTCTCCCTAGGTGAGCTACAGCCAAACCGACGAGGAGAGCTACGTGAGGACGGACGACGAGGAGAGCTGTATCCGCACGGACGACGAAGAGGGCCTGCTGGCCCAGAGCGAGGAGTGGAATGAACACATGCGCCGTCTCTTGAACAGCAGAGCCTGCGGCAGCTCGGACAACTAGAGCACTGTAACTTCTCAAGATTGTAGTTAGTTGTGTGTTTTAAACAAATCGAAGCTTTTCTTTTAACGCTGTTCCTTTTTTAATAACAGCATCTTCAGTATCATCATTCATTCAAGCCAACAGGACAAGAAACACAAAAGAGCAGGTCAGGTGCTGTTGTTTTAAACAATTGCAGTATTATTATAATCGTTATAATGGTTGCTATTACAGTTACTCTTCAGATTAGTACTTAGTTATTTTGCACACACTGTATACAATCAATGCTTGGTTTACATCTGAAACACTAGTATCCTTTCCAAATAGAAAAGCTTTTTTTAGTTTTTTTTTTAATAGAACAAGTTGTAATACTTACAGTAGGTACACTTTAAAAATCATCCGTGTGCATATTTCAGATCCAAAACGACACAACACAGTTCAAGTAAAAAGCTTTTCTTTACATTTCATCACAAGACTCTTTGCCTAAGATAGTTCAAAGTATAACCAAGGACCCAATCCAGAATTTAGAATAGAACCGTTTTTATTACAGCTACTCAGCCATATTGTTCTTGTAAATATATATATTTTTGCCTGATACAGAATTTCAAACATGAACTAGTGACACTGCTAAAAATAAATTATATATGTAAAAATCTAGTTTTTAATCCACAACATATCGAAGTGAAAACTGTGAACCAGTCTGGAGAATCTCAATAACAGAGCTGTCTATATACCACAGGTGCCATAAAATCCAATTGACTTTGAGAATTAGTGTTCAATCTTCCATTTTGTCTTTTGGGTTGGTGTTTTTTATTGTTGATCCAAGCATGTGTAAAGAAAAGGGGATAATAGATATTAGACGTACATTGTTTTGAAGCATACAGCTTTATTTTTTAGTGTAAAAGTGAACTTGCTGTTCTGTTTTTTTTTTTAAATTATTTTCAACTGTGTGCACTGCCTACGATTCCCATAGGGCCCTGCATGTTCTTTACTGTGCGATATTGCACAGTTGCTCATGGGAGTTTGGACTAGCCAAAAGAAGCAAAGGTAACAATAGATGTATAACTATAAGATTATAAGAGCTGACATTTAAAATACGCCACTGATTTAATAAGCTTTTTAAAGCCATGGAGATATTGGAATTGGTATTCAAGGCATTGAAACGGGTCTTTTCAGTTCTTCATTTCACTGCATCTCTGAAGAAGACATTAAATAACAGTTCACGTTCATTCTTTTTTTAATTTGAGCAGAGAAATTTGAACACAGAATTTCAAATGGTCTTTACAGGTTTCGAGGTTGGATTGTTGGTACTGACAGTCGTATGCCACTTTGAACAGTGACAGGGAATACAGATGTTGTGTGTGTTGACAGCACTGGAAATTCTTTACATTTGAAATGCATCTGATCTTGACTTTTTTTAAGTAAACAAGAGCAACATAAACCAAGGAACAGTGTTCTGTAAGCGCTTTTATGGTAACCTCCGGAAGAATGCTCTTAAAATGAGTTACTGGATTGTTAGAAACCTGAATGAATATTTGAATTTTGTTTTAGTGATGTCTTTGGTTGACAAATAGTGCTGAGTCTGTTTTCAAGGGTCCTCTTCACAAAATGATCACAAGTAACTACTATACTTCAGAATATGGGCTTGAACTAGAGGCACACTATTTCCACATTTATAGTAATTGTGGTCATATATAGTTATATATAGTATTTATAGGAAAGAAGCTCTTATAATCTAAAAACTGACAAGACACTCTGACTGCTTCAGTGATGGTTTCAGAGAGGTTACATTTTCTCAAACATAACTTGGACATGACGCACACAGTTTTCTTACCAAGCCAAACCATTTTTTTCACTTGATGGAGATGCAGACCTTTCGCTTCCACCTCACTCTCCTGAGTGAGGAGACTAAATGAAGATATCGGATACAGAAGTGCTTGTTCAAGCTCATCTGAAGCAGGGCATCCACATTCAGCATTTAAATCAGTTTGTTGTACGTCACCAATGTCTCGGTGTGCTAAAATAAGAGGATTGTTGAATGTTCTTGTTTTCTGTGTTTGGTTTGTATTTGAATAGAGGTGTGCTTCTGACCCAGTTAAAATTGTGCTTCACTCCTCTTGCAAAGCCAAGGGCCTAAGCGGCTGTACGAATCTGTTCTCTTACAGAAATGGAACCTGCACGGTCGGGCATGTTCCAATACTATATGTGCCATTTTGCAACCCTCACTTTACAATTCAGCCTTAAATTTCATTCTTGTGTTGCTACACAGAGCAGGGCACTTGTGAGTTAGTAAAACCTAAATGGAATGATAGCACAGGAGTATGATACCAGTTGACTCAGGATAAATACCCACAGCATATATAGCTAAATCAGTTTAAAAAACATTTCCTCACTTTGCATGGATGTTTATTTCTTAACTTTTTTTGTTAGACTGTAACATATTTTGAAGCAGGAGCAGAGGAAAAAGACATTTATAATTGCTCTGACGTAATTGTATGTTGTAGTATTGAAGTACGTTTCCAGCATATAAGTATGTACATTTCTTTCAGTTACCTGTGTCAGTTACGGCACCATTCTCACACATAGAGAAGGAGAAGGGTAAAAATAATAACCTTCGATTTCATCTGTTCACTGAATTATGCCTTTTTTTTCTTTGTCCTACAAGAGCCCTTTGTACAAAGCAAAAGAAAAATCTCAGAAAATACAGAAGAGTTTCTATTGTAAAACCTTACACATGTACAGATATGTACACACTGGCTGAAGTTTGCACATCCCTTGTAAATAATGAGAAAATGTTCATTCTCTGGTTAATAAATAACAGTGATGATGCGCGTAAAGCAAACAAACTGATGTTTATGCATATTTGAAAAAATCAATCGAAAGTCCAAGGACAAATTTCTGTAACGGGTATAGAAACTTTCACTGTCTATAACTGTAAATAGGTAAAGGAAATCTTTCTAATCGAGACCCCCTAGGACAACAGTAGCTGTTGGTATTGCAACAACAGTATTGGGCCTCACAGCAACACCTTGTTGTCACTTTAGGATAAAGGATCTTTTTAACAGCTCCCTGGACTAGAGTGCAGGAGGAGTGTGTAATAGGGAGCTGGCAGGTAGTTTGACGTTCAGCCTGTTACACTTGCATTTCTGCCAATGTACTGTATATTCACGCCTGCAGCAGCCTGATGTCCTGCTCGGGGTGTGACTGGAGATGGAACTCTGTCCATCTCTCTTGCCCTTCCTGTGCCCTGTCAGCAAAGGACTGGGTGTTTGGAGTTTCAATATATGGTCAGGGACAATTGTTTTAAGGCACTGTCTATCTGTCTGTCGCCCGCAGTTCTTTTGGTTATAAACACAATTAGCCATACGAAGACTCCAAAGCTTTCACTATGTAAGCAACAGCTAGTTCTTGTTTAAACCGATAATTAGAAATATACTTAGAGAGCTAAATTAGGGACTTTCACCACTGGTTGTGTTCAAGGTTGACTTTCTCGTGGAAGGAAATGACACAAGGGTGACGTGGATGTGAAGTTCATTTGATGAAGAGCTCAGTTTGTTAAAGAAACAGCTTACCAGGCAGGAGACAATATATGCAACGTGTGTGGCAGGGTGTCCTGGAATGTAATTCATTCAGAGCAGATAAGTAGAGACGTTTTAAGGTTCTTTTTTTATTGGATGCAATTTCATACACTTTCAAATATGGAAAATTCCTCTTAACGGGAGTCCGTTGCCTTTTAAAGTGATAACCTTGTGTGTTCGGTCCTGCATGTATCAGATGAATACGGAAAGCCCATATCCTTGAATCGAGTAACAAACGCAAATACAAATGCACAGTTTTCACATGCGCGGTTCAATAAGTCTTTCAAATGAACGTTGCTGTCACCCTGAACAGGGTTTTCTGCTGTGTGCCGTCTGCTCGAGAAAGGGGTTTCAGAGCAGAGGTGTCCTGTGCTGGGATGGGGCGGGACCAGTGTGTGCAGGTTCTCATCACAACTCAGCTCCTAATGAGCTAAACTCAGCTGCTTGTTGGCCTAACTGGACCAGTTGAACAGCGTGTCCAAGCTCTAGGTTCTGCTGCGTTCAGAGACCTTGAAAGCCTAAAGAGCCATTGGCCCTGCAGGACCAGAACTGGACACTCCTGCCGCAGGGCTGTGGCGACTGAGTCTTTGTTGGGAATGGTACGACTTCTCTTACAGTACGAAAGGCTGAGAGTCTGTTTGGAGCCACAGACAAGTAGCTGTGTCCAGGGAGGCTCTTAGTCTTGGGAAGCGGGGAGCAGATGGGAACTATCTGCACACAGCCTGGCTCTGCCCATCTTTCAGTACACTGTGGCCGTGTCTAGGTCTGCCTAACTCGGAGGCCAGACCCCTTATTTATTTTCTGTGTTTTCTTTCTCCCCGTTTTTCATAAGATCACGCCTGTAGTGTTGTTGTGTAAATACTGCGAATCATGGTTGCAGGAATGGAAGAAAAAAAAAAGCTTACAGATAAAAATATGGTTCACTCAGCTGAAATAAGCTGTATGTACGAAACCGCCTTTGTCCTGAATATTAAGGGCATTGTATTCTGAACCAAAAATGTAAAAACTGTCCAGTCACCATGACTAACTATACGAAACCTTTTAACGTTACTACTGTACTTGACACCACTAGAAGTAATATACTAAGTGTGGAAACACTAAATAATTCTGATTTCACATCATTCATTGGTATTGTAATAGAACTACTGATGTCTGTTTTGTATTGTTGTTAAGTATTGTTTTTTTGTGTGTTGGAAACAACTGGGACATGTTATATTTTGAAGTGATTAAAATATTTAACTGTGTGTCTGTATTTTGGAATGGAATTATTACTTCATTAAAAAGAGGATTTTTAAAAAGCTAAGCATGCTTTATTAAAGTATCCCTCACCTTCCACCCCACCTCTCAATTAAGTAACGTGCAACATTACTTCAGGACTCCACTCAGAAGAAAATCTGATTCAGTTTAAAAAAATAATTTCTGTACATTAGAACTGTAATGAAACATACCAGGTGAAGCACTCAACTAAGAGAAAAGTAACTTACAGCATGGTCGCCTTTTCTGAAGAAAATATGTTTAATTGATCTAATAGTGACTGATGTTTGTTATCCTTTTTCATTTTTAATTTCTTCGGCTGACTGAAGTTGAGTTTAAGAGTGACAGAAATCCTGCAAACACACGGATATGATGGGACAGCCCTGGTCTAGAACGTTATTTTTTTAAAACAAAAAGGTCTAGAAAAATAATTGAATATTAATTTTACTGCTTGCCACTAGGTGTCTCTCTTCTTCAGGAAACTTAAAACACACTAAGCAATCAGTACAGTACTAGTCGGTTATAATCATTAATTTCACTGTTTAAAACTGCGAAAGGGAAGAACGTCCTCCTCCACAACAGAAAGATGACAATGAAAAGGAGAGATAATATGCTGATTCCCACATTTACAGTGAAGTCCGACTTATGAAGGTAAGGGAAGATCTCAACATTGGGGAGAATTAAAATAGTAAAGCCTTGTAATAACTGACTCTTAATGTCTTATTAAAGGTTTCAGAATGTGGCACAATTTTGGAATATTTGCTAGCATTCTGTTTCACGGTTTTCTATCGGAAGGTTTCAGAAATCAAATGCCAATATCCTTGTGGACTTAATGTATTGTGTTTTAAGATGTCTCGGAGACAGAGATTTGACCACACTCTGTTGTAATAAAAGAAACCGTATAAAAGTAATAATAATAATTGCTTACACTTATATAGTGCTTTTCTGGACACTCCACTCAAAGCGCTTTACAGGTAATGGGGACTCCTCTCCACCACCAGTGTGCAGCCCCGCCTGGATGATGCGACAGCAGCCATAGTGCACCAGTACTCTCACCACACACCAGCTCTCAGTGGGGAGGAGAGCAGAGTAATGTAGCCAATTCATAGATGGGGATTATTAGGAGGCCATGATTGGTAAAGGCCAGGGGGGAATTTGGCCAGGACGCCGGGGTTACACCCCTACTCTTTTCAAGAAACACCCTGGGATTTTTAATGAGTCAGGACCTCGGTTTTACGTCTCATCCGAAGGACGATAGTGTATATGATGAGTTACTTGAGTGTCTGTGGTAGTGGAATTCCTCACCCCCACCCACACTGACCACAGGAGCACTATTTTACAATGAAGGTTAAGAACTGTAAGCCTGTGAACATTTAAAAGGACCTTTGTTTTGTGTTTCTTCATAGATCCATCCAGTTAAAGTTCAACGCTTTTTAAACGATGTTCACAACACTGAGGAAACATACAGTGCACATCCAAGGCAAGTAAGCAGCTTTCTGAATTTGTGCCACGGCTCTTTGTAGCATTTAAAATGGAAATACCTGGACTGAAAAGGTCTGTTTCCCCACCAGTTTATATGGAAACTGAAGCCAGGAGTTCCCTATACCTGATCCTGGAGTCTCACACACACATCTGCTGGATTGCATTCCTGCCTGTCTTAATTACTTAATTGAAGCCATGATTGAGCTCACAAGATGCGTGGTTGGTTTGGATTGGATAGCTTTTTTGCTCTGCTTTTAAAGGGTTGGGATTTTATTTTATTTCTGAAATGCTTTAGTGAAAAGGCAATATCCAATGTGTTTAAGAGCTAGAAAGAGTAGAAAAAGTTAAAGGTTAAAATAAAAGCTGTCATTAAGTCAAAGGAACAAGTAATAGGTTTATGCCATGCTGAAAAGATAAGAGAGAAAACATGTTTCGGGTGTGTGTTATTAAGTCAGTTAAGGGGTATGGCTGTGTCACTGAGTGTTGGGCTGGAACAAAAACCAGGAGGTGTGTAGTCTTCCAGGATCAGGACTGGGAACCCACTGAGCTCTGAGTCTTGGGAGAAAAAACACAGGTCCTCAGCTGCAGAGAAAGTCCTGTGATGAGCCTCTGACAAGAATCAAAACAGATGGGCCTAGCACTTGCTACACAGCAAGAAAAACAAGCTGCAGTGTGCATCAGGAGCTGTCAAATAACCGCTGCTCAAACAGGTGAAGTGCAAAACTGCTTTTGGGAGCTTGTTTTCTTAACACAGCTGTGGATACTACAGGCAATCTATAAATGGCAGATTTAAGTACAAAACTGTGTTAAAGGGTGTCACAGTTGTAACACTGTTACGGCTCCTGGTATAGACTCGGGACAGCCAGGAGTCCCCTTCGATGTGCAACACAACACATTTTTAAAAGCCACGTTCATCTGTGAGCGAAAATTTCCGTGTCGCGTCTTTTTCTGTTGCTGTTGTGGATTACCCTAGTAAAAGCCCGGTCAAAAATGGCCAATCAGTAATCGAGTACGTAATATGTTTCGGGAGCGCAGAAAAGCGAGGCAGAAGAGCGGAATAAGATATCTCGAAACGGGTACGTCACATCAAGTCACCGTGACGATGCATTTGTATTTTATCTGGTTTGGAGGCCGTCGGATCCATGTAACTAGCGAACGGTAGGCAAGTCACAATGTCGAGCTGGACACGTAGACTACTGGTGGTCTTTTACTAGAA